GGCAATCAAAAACGTGCTGACAATCAAAAAGTTTGTAGTTTTGTTGTGTTATCAATAAACATTGAACATTGTTTCATATTAACTGAATGATATTATTGATTATTATCAATAATTATGGTTATTATTAAAATCGGTGAGTGTGTTTGGATTAACTATTAATAAATACATAGTTAATAATTTAAATTGTTTGGGTTAATCTTGTTCATCTTGATTTTGTTTGTTTATCTTGTATTTCAATTATAATGATAATTTTTGTGGGTTTGGCTTAATTTGCATAAACTTCAAGTGTATTAGGTTAACCGAGATTAACTAATGACAATAGATTAAAACTCAATTTAATCTTAGTCTTTCCGGATTATGTTAATTGTTGATAAACTAAAGTTTTGGTCAGATAATTTAATCTCAACCAGGTAAAAGGTCAAGATAAGATCTATGGTCTATTACAGGTAAGGTTGACTTTTAAGAAAGAAAGAGATTCATTTTCTAAAATTTTCCATTTTTATTCATGATATTTCATTGAATTTCACTGAATTAGCTTCTAATTCCAATATCAAACTAATAACAATTCATTTATCATCTTATTCTGGTCTCAGTCTTTTTTTATCATCTATCAATCCACCCTCTCTCTCCTCTCTCTCTCTCTCTCTCTCCATGAAAATACTGGGAGGTTATTATTGATATTATTATATCATGATTATTATTGTTACTATTATTATTATTGATATTATTATTTGTTGTATATAAATGTATCAATGCTCATGGTCACTCAATGTCCATCATCATTGTCCAGATGCTTTTGATGGTTTTTTATATTCCAAATAAAAATCTGTTCTTTTGGAACTCTTTTTTTCTATCCCTTCCCACCTTCCACTCCTCCTTTTCCTTCTTATCTCCATCATCATATTTTCATCTCTTTTTCTTTTCAATTTCTCAGAGAATTTCTTAGATTTACCCTGTAGGTTCATTCGCACCTTACACACTGGTTATTCTGTTTTTTATTATCATGAAATTGAGTTTCTTTCTGATCATAGAGAACGAAAAAGTTTCTTATCGAGTGATTCTCTCTCACTCTCTCCCTCTCTTTTTTCATTTGTCATCATTTTGTCATCTTCATTTGGACAAGATTAAAATGACCAGGACAAAACTTTTCAATTCTTTCAACTGGAAATGTTAATGGTTTGTTTTCCACCTCCATCACAAGCAGATACTCAGAGCATCTCTGTGATGGGCCAACTGAGCATATCTTTCATTTGAATTGTTATTAATTTGATTGTTAGCTTGATAATTATTCATTGATCATCATCCGATGTAATAATATGAGAAAAAAATAAACTTGCACATTTTGATTGCCTTCAATTCATTGATGATCATCATCATCATCATCAGCCACTCCCATTACTCCTTCATCTTAACTTTTCCTCTTTCTCCTCCAATCCAATCATCTAATCAACCTTATGCTCTGTATTTGACACTGTATTTGAGTTTGGAAAACAAGAAGATGGAAAAGGATGATAATGATGATAAAAAAAGGGAGTAATTGGAAGATGATGAAGATGATGAAATGATGATGAATCTCTTTAATATAACAATATAAATCTATGGGTGTACATGAAGTCTGAGGAAGAGGAAGAGGAAACAAACTATGATAATGATGACAGAAACGATGATAATAATAACGATAACAACAACGATGACGATGATAAAGATGATGATGATGATGATTTCTGAGTGTTTAGTATTTACGAGACAATTAAGTCGCTTTTATATTATCATCATCATTGAACTGATCTGTCAAATAAACGTGACAATGCTCATTAAATTGAATCTCTTACATCATTAAGTTTCAGCTTCCGAGTATTTCAATTCAATTCAATTCAATTGTTAGTATTATTTTTATTATTATTACCCTGATTATTATTATTATTATTATTATTACCCTTTCAATAACAACAACAAAGTATGATAATAACAATCATCATAATGTTGATTAATTCAAAGCTTATTAACAATTCATCATTAAGGATAATGTGTATTAATTGTTAATCCTAACGGTAAATTTGTTTTTCTTTACCTTTATTTACGAGATAAATAAAAAATGTTACTTTAATTAACCAATTATGATCAACATTAAGTTAACCTATTGTAACGATTAACTGATTTACTTATATATCAAATAATTGGCTTCAGATTAATCAGATTAATCTTCTGTATGAGTGATCACTGATTTATTGGGATGAAGATTACATTTTGCTCACTCACCTGACAATCTACAGATTATATTAACAGCTCACTTTATCATCTCCATCTCAATCTTCATCTTCATCATCATTATCATCCTCTTAATGACACTATAATTCATGTTCCACAAGCTGTTTCCTTACCTTATTTTTTTTCATCACTCATTTAATCACTTTGTTGAAAAGAGGGATGAGGATGATAAAAATCATCCTCATCTTTTATCCGCATCCTTCATCATACTCCCCCTTTATTAAAGTGTGTACATTATATTATCTAATCATTGAGTTGAATGATATTAAGATGATGATGATGATGATGGAGATCATTTTTATTTTATCATCACTTAGCATCATCTGTATAAACCTTACAGGGTTTCCCAATGTTCACTCACTTTCAGATTGATTAACATGTTAACCCTTTTCATTTGATATTTGTGATACTCTGTAGGTTTTTTGATTGATTTTTCAATTAAATTCTGATTACTATCAATGCTAATAATCTAATTAAATTATGTTAATCATGGTTAATCTGTTTCACAATTTTCTTTTTTTGCTAAATTGTTCTTTCACTCACTTAATCATTATCATCATCATAATCAAAGGTTGTTGTTGATTATTAAATTATCATTAAAATTGATTGTGTGTTCTGTTAACGGTAATTACTTTTTAATTGTTCCAATAAAGGTTAACTTTTCCTCGTGATTTAATTTAAAATCAACAAAAAAAACGCTTTTTAATTGTTGTTAAAATTTTCTTCCTCTTTAATTATTCACTTTAAACATATCCACCAATCAACTAATTATTATTATTAAATTCCCATATATTGTTATCATTTTTATGGAAACAAATCAACTGCTAATCATCCAAACCTTTTATTGACTCGATAACAATTAACTTTTAATTGCTACAACTCGATACCCTCAATGTGATCAGAAATTGACCATTGGTCAGTTTTGACCTCAATATTTACATTTAGATCACGAATTGAGAGTCTTGATCATTCATAACGATTAACTTAATTACAATTGTTGAGATTATGTTGATAGTTAATCCATAACAATAAATACAAAACCATCAACATGATAATTAATCTGAACAATAATTAGTTGAATAGCAATTAAAATATATTCAGTTACCTTTTTTTTCATAATTCATTTTCTTTAATCGTTAATTAACTTTTCAGATTAATAATGATTATCATGATTATCATGATGATGAGGATGATAAATATATATACATAAACAATGGATAAACACACACGCCTATGATTAAATTGTTGTTAATCAATGTAAGTTAATTTTCAACTGAATCTAATTTAAGGTAATCAAGATGAATTTAAATCCTCCCATTATTTGTTTTTCTGGTAAAACTAAAAAACTACAATAATTAAACATAGAAAACAATTAAGATGTAACATAATCATCACGTTAACACAAATACAATCAACACATAATTTAGCAAACAATCAACCTTGATTGTGGAAAATTAAACAACAACTAATCACCATTGTTTTCACCAACAACAGCAAATCATAATAACTAAAAGTAATTAATAATAATTGTTACAAGACAAATGAAGATCAACAAGTTAACAGGTAAAATAAATCACCTTTAAAATCAACTGTTTCCAACTGATAATCAAAGTTAATTGCGATCAACTCAATTTCTCTCAATGGATTAATCTTGAATGGAGAATGAAAAGTAAAATCAATTACTAGTTAATTGATTAATTGATTAGCCAGATATTGATAATTGGGAGCAAAAAAAGTTCTAATTGATTAATTGATTGGCCAATTAAATGATAATGAACATTGTCAACAGAAATTAACAAAAGGCAACAAACCAAGTTAATAAAAACTGATTACTATTATTATCATCATTATTAACCTCCGGTTGAATGGGACTGATAAAAGGCTTGTTACATGATGATGATGATGATGAGAAAGAGATGAGGATGGAGATGATGAGGGTGATTGTTACTACCATGACTCGATAGTAGGGGGTAATGATAATATCCATGCCAAGGACAGACTCAATTGTGAGTTCTAATTTTCATCATCATCTCTCTCTTTCTCTTTCTCTTTTCATCATCTTCTATTTTCCCCTTTCTTTTTTCTCTTTTTTTTTACTCGACTAAATCTTAAGAGAATATCTAAAAGTCACATTCGATGAAGAAGAAGAAGAAGATGATGATGATGATGAAAAAACTCCTCCCGTTAAATGTAATGTCGAATGTCCCATGCATCTGTTTCCATTTATTTCCAATGAATAACTTTGGAACTTTTCTTTCTCTCTCTCATCATCATAATTGATAATTTTTATTAGTGAGAGACTTTAATTGTTATTATAATCATTATCATCTAATCCTGAATTTTTTTTTCTCTAATTGTAACTTAAATTAGACTTTTGATCATTTTTTTTATTCATCTTGGAAATTTGGATGAACAAAAAACTTTCCTCATGATTCGTAATTTACTTTCATGGTAATTAGTTGGATGAAGATTCTGGTGATGATGATTATTCATTAGGATTGATAGGAAAAGAGTTGAAAATATTTATTGCATTGTTGATGAGATGATGATGATTAAGAGAGAGAGAGAGAGAGAGACTGTTTTTTCCTATATGAATAGGATGTTATGAAGATGAAGATGATGATGATGATGGGAGGAGTTATTTTGATATGTAATGAGCCAATAGAATTGGATAATTTAACATCTCTCTCCTTTTCTCTTTCATCATCCTCATCATCTTCATCTCCATCATCTCTTACCTTGATCACTCCATGAAAGTGTATATTCAATTTATTAGTAAGTAAATAAAAAGTTTATAATAACAACAATTACCTTTTTTTGTGACCTCATCATAACCAGTGAATTAAATCAACTAATTTAATTAAGTGACAACAATAATTGTCTAATCTTAATTTAATCAATTGATTTGTAAACATCATTTCCATCACGATTGTGTTAATTTGAAATCTTTTTTTATTTCTCCAAAACAAAACCAATAATAATAATCAACTCTAATTGTTTGTGTTTCTATTAATTAGATTAACATGGAGTTAATTATGGATGAGGATCGGCTTGATGATAGTTTATGTTCCAGTAATAATGGATCAACATCATTGATCATTGATCAAAGTGATTTAACTAATAACAAGAAGGAGATTAAATCAATTGAATCCTCTGAAAATATTGTTATTAATCATAGTGAGTCCAACAATCAACAGGATAATGATAATAATAAAATTGGTTGTGATGATAAAGTTAACAATGAGGTTACAATTAACTCCAATACAAGTAATTGCGTTAAATCAACACGATTATCATTTAGTATTAGTAGATTATTATCAAAATCATCGTCACCACCGATTTCATCAACAATTAAACAACAACATTCACCTGATCCAGTTATCCCAAGTTCAATTTCACCTCCATTGTCAATGTCAACATCTTCCAATTCATCTTCCTCTTCCGCATCAACCCATTCATCCCATGGTTCAGAATTGTCTAATTGCTCATCTAATGTAATCATGATGAACGAAGATAATTATAATACTAATCATCATAATAATAATAACAGAATTAAAGAGGAAGATGAGTTAATTGTGAACAATGGTAATCGTGAAGATGAAGATGATGATGAGGATAAAATTATATCAAGTCCATTGATGTTTGATAAGAAACTATTGATTCCAAGTCAGTCAAGTATTACAGTTAAATCAAACTCACCACAACCACTACCACCGACAACAACAACAACAACAACAACAACAACACCATCACCACCATCACAGTTACTATCAACCAATGGATCAAATAAATTATCATTAAAAGATAAATTTAATGATAAACTAAATGATAGTGAAAATAATTTAATGGCAGCAAGTTTTTATCATCATTATATTACCGATGCTTTTAGTGATTCAATGTTGAGACTACATCATGCTCATCATCATGCTCACCACCCTCATCATCACCAACAGCAACAACAACAACAACAACACCCTCACCATCCAAGTGTCACTCATCCTCATCATCATCAACTTTACCATCCACATGCTCATCACCCATTAACTAATGGTACCAATTCAATTCCAGCTCATCAAAGGTCAGCTTATCAATCAGGTAATCATAAATATCGTCATTTTATTGGCAGTTGATTAATTTTATCATCCATTTGATTAGTTAATCTTAATCTTTTTCTTTCCTTCATTTAGCTTATCATTCATCTCCAGTTGAAGCTTCACAATTATTGAGACCAGCGTTTAGTATAAGTCGTTTGTTATCATCAGCAAATCGCAATGATTCAGTGTCTTCATCTTCATCTTCATCAATATCATCATCAGGTGCCAATATTGTAGGTACAAGTAATAGTAATAATAATAATAATAATAATGGCAGTGGTGGTGGTGGTCGGTCAACAGGATCAACGAAAGACTCAATTCACGATCCTCGATTCCCTGCTAATCCAGTCCTGCGATCATCTCTGTTTACAAGCCATCATCCTGGTCATCATCACACTCACCATCCAACACATCATCATCCTGCTCATCATCATCATCACAACAATCTAACCCTTGGCTATCCTTTGGCCTGGATGTCCAGTTCAAGAGGTAAACCTCGAAGGGGAATGATGAGACGAGCGGTTTTTTCTGATGCTCAGAGACAAGGATTAGAAAAACGTTTCCAGGGACAAAAGTACATCTCCAAACCTGATAGGAAAAAATTAGCTGAAGAATTAGGATTAAAAGATGCTCAGGTAAATCAAATTGTTCCAATTGGTCTTCTAATTTTTTTCATCATTCAGAAAACTTTTCCAATGAACCAAGTGAAAAATAGATTGAGAAAAACTTTGAGATTGAATTTTGTTCCTCTGCCAGAAAAGTGTTTAAATAGATGAAAATATTGATTGTTGATCTTGTCTTCTAATGATCATGAATCAACAATCAACTACAATCAACAACAATCAACTTCAATTTATCAAATTGAACAACTAATCAGATCGCTGTTACATGAAAGTACATTACTCCTCCCATCTAAATCATATTACAGTAAAATGATTTAAATTTGTTTCCCACTCACCTCAGCATTCAATGAATGCTTAATTCAACTGATTAAATTGATTATTGATCATGAATTTATCAATTCAATTGAAATTATTCATCATCATCATCATCTTCATCTGATTATTTATATTAATATAAATATTAATATGAATTGTGTTGAGTATGAAAATTGAAATGAAGGTAAACATTTATTAGATTTTGACAATAACAATAAAAATCTAATCATCATGTTGATAAATGATATGAAACCTGAACAATTTAAATTATCATATGAATTGATTTTGTCAATTGTGATTATATGATAATATTATTTATATTTAAGTAAAACCTTTAATCATGAAAAAGTTTTCAATTCAATTTTCATCTCATCATTTATGGTAAGAAATTCAGACTGATTCTCATTTTGGAACATGAATTTGTAAAACTTTCCAATTCAAATTCATGTTACATGATAAATCATGAGAGAGATAATTATTATCATGATCGATTTTAGTTCTAGTTTTTCATTTTCGAGTTAGAACTTTTTTTTATTTCTTTTTCGCTAATATATGTAATGTCCAAGGCTCCATATTAATGGGTGAGGTTTTCATGATGATTAAGATGATAACCCAAAGGCAATCGTTGATTTTTTGTATAATAAGTTGATTGGACTTGAAACTTACACACAATCAATTGATTGTTACCTTTAGATTTAATTTTTTTTCTTCTTCTATTAATTAAATCAGCAATTACCTGATTTAGGAATTAATTAAGAAACTTTGACTTACCCTTAGAGAGAGAGAGTTTTGATTTTTTTCCTCTTCTCATTTGATAAACTTTGTGATGGATAATCAATGTCGCTGATTATATTTCACTCGATTGTTGATTAACCTTTGATTAACCTTGATCATCATCAATGGTAATCAATGATTAGCTTAAAAGCTTCAAGCAATTTTCATCTTCACAATCAACAATTAGTATTTTATTCAGTTTGTTTTTTATTTTCATCACATTATTCATGAGCTTAGTTGAGATTCATTCAATCAATTGATTGTTAATTTTGTTTCTGCTCTTCATTAGTTTAATCATCAATTGATTGTGGAAAAAAAATTTCTTTCAATTTTGATTACCTTTTGATTGTTTTACTTTCATTTAAGATTATTAATCTTGATTAAAGGAAATCAATTAGTTGATAACTGATCAAGGTAAATGATCATACGACCACCAACACTGTTAATCATGATTAAATTCAATTATTCAATGATAGAAAATGAATCTAAACAATTAATTCTCGCACAATTAATTAATTAAAAGAAAATGATGAAAATTTAAGAAGAAATAATCGATGTCAAAATCGAAAATCGATCTATTAATATTTCTAATTGGATCGATTGATTCAAGTTCGAAAACTTTTTTTACCTATTAGAACATTTGATAATCGAAATCGAACTTTGAGTTTATAAAATTGTTTCGAATCTTAGTTCGATTAATAACTCGAATTTAGTTTACTAAATTAATTGTTTTCTTTTCTAAGAAAATGATTAAAACTTTGTAACTAAATTAAACAGAAGAGCAAATAAAAAGTTAATTGTTACCTTTCAATCAACTTGATCACAACTAATTACAGGTTAATTAGCGAGCAATTAGTTTACACTTTTGAATAAATGATGAAAATATCAAGTTAACGATTGTGATGATAATTAAAGCGACAATTTAATTTCTCTCCCTTTCCTTGTCATCATAATTGTTTCATTAGCTTTAACCAATTAGTAAATTGTTATTGCTTAATAGCTTTAAGGTTAATACAATTTAATTTATGATTATTATCACAATTAAGATGAGTAATTATCATGATTATTACTAATTTAAATTATGGAAATAAGAACGAAAAATTTTGGGAAAAAAATTTTCTTTTTCTTTTTCAATAGAAAAATTAAAAACTCCAATCAATACCCTCAGGCTATTTAAAGGTTATGCTAATTGCCGATGTTGATGATAATTAGTTGATCATAAATTTCCAATAAATCATAAATTTATTTCTATCGATTAAATCGATTGACCCGATAAAAGTAATCAAATTAATACGAACAATTAATAAAAACTCATTATTCCAATTTAAAAATTAGATGAATATCGACAATTAAGTAAAAAGGGTTTGCCAGTTGAACACAATTAAGTTAATTGTTGACTGGGAAAAAAGTGATTACATTTGAATCAATCAATTTAAATTAAATTGATGAAAAAGTGATGAAATTGTAAATTGTTGTTACCAAAAGACAATTAAAAATGATAGAAACTTAATTTACAGAACAATTAATCTTAATCTTAATCACAATTATAACTATCAAATGTAATAATAAGCACATTAAATTGTTGTTAATTGTTTAACAACAAACAAACAGCAATTCAAAATAAAATCTAAAGTAGCGATGAGTTTAATTGCAATTAAATTGTAATGATTAAGAAAATGAAATTAAAATCAAATTAAAATGTAAACCAAATGAAAAAAAACTTTTTACTTTTGTTAAATTGTTGAATAAACCAAATCAAATTAGTAAACAAATTAATTGTTTAAACAATGATGATTGATATGCAAAGGGAATCACAAAGTAAATAAGATGATGAGAGAGATGATTGAATGATGATTAAATTATGATTGTTAATTGTAACGATAATTATATAAATGGTTAAGACAAATTGTGAGAAACTGATACCATTTAGAAAAATGATTTATATGTAATCATTATCTTCCTATCATCATGAGTAGTTAACTACTACTGATGATCATCTTGTTGATATCTTCATCATCCTCATCCTCATCCTCATCTTCATCTTCATCTTTATCTTCATCGTTAACGTGACTCGCGGCTCTAACACGAATAGTGACCTTTAATATTGGTGCTAAATACACTTGTTCAAAATTCTGAGGCCCAAAAATTGAGGCTCAACATCGAGTGGAAACTTTATCCTCCAATTTGTGTGCAGTGATTAAAACAGAAATTAATATCATTGTGATGATAAATAATCATTATCATCTTCATAAATGATTATTATGAAATATTAAAGTGATCTCACCCTAAATTGATCAATTCCCGATCATAATCAATGTAATAAATTGAACAGATTAAAGTTAATTGTTCAACTATTTCAATGTTATCGTGGTAATGTATCAATGGTTAATAGCATGTAACTTGTTTTCATTTTTGTTACCATTTAGATTTGATTGTTTACTTTGCTTTTCGTAATCATAATCATCTAATCATCTCCAATTCACTTCTCATCACCTTAACTTGATGAGGATGATGAAGATAAATCATCATCATCATCATCATGTTTCCCTCAATGACAATGAGTGAGAGAAACTTTTTTTTTCCTTCTTCTATTACCAACAATTAACATATCATATAAATGATATCATTTGATGATTAAGATGTTGTAGATGATATTGGGTAGGGCTATTATTATCATCATCATCTCATCACCTTTATCATCTTGTTTTTAACTTTATCTTCCTCTTCTTATCATCATTATCATCTTAATCGCTCTCTCTCTCTCTCCATCTTTAGGATACCCGATCTCAGGTCAAATCGTTTGAGAGGTTGAATGTTGTTGGTGTTTTTAAATAGTTGATTATTGAACATTTAATTTCAACTGGAAACCCTCCTTTGAATTGCAATTAATTTGCTATTTATCATTGCAATTAGATAATTAGTTTGAATGAAACTTTGTTATTTGATTGTAGTGATTAAGAAACAAAAACAAACCAACTGAATTGACACTTTCAATCTCAATCTAATTGTTAAATTGATTTGACTCTTTTCAATGTTAAGATGTATTAGATTTATTTTTGTCACTTCTCAAGAGAAACTGAGTAATTAACTAATCATTGCCGATAGTTGGTCAAGATAATTAAGTTTTACTTTTGTTAATTGTCCATAGGTTAAGATTTGGTTTCAAAATCGTCGGATGAAATGGAGAAATTCAAAAGAACGTGAATTATTATCCCATGGTGGATCTCGAGAGCAAACACTTCCCACCAAGAATAATCCTAATCCGGATTTAACTGATGTGGGTGCAAATGAATCTAAATTGAAATCATCTTCAACTAAATCATCATCTTCCTCCTCTTCCTCCTCCTCCTCTTCCCACTCTTGCACCTCATCATCCTCTGCAGTAGTTACACAAGGAAAACACTCTAAACACCAACATAAACATTCAATTGAAAGATTCACTGATGTTTAATCATCATCCAGGTAAGAAATCAATCAATCAATCAACGACTAATTAAATTATATCCATAAACAAATCTACAATTAACCTTTTACTTTTTATTGAACATCTTAATCTATTATTAATAGTTGGATAACAATTGAATCCGTTTTAACTTTTGGTTAATCTTATCTACGCCTTAATTGTAATACCAAACCCACTCACCTGGATGTTACTGTTTAATTAATGATGATTTAAAGGTAAGAAATTAAAAGTTAATCATGATTAACATTCACAATTTAATTGTTTTCTAGGATACAATGAATGAGTTACTATTTCAATGTTAGGCAATTGTTGTATCAATGACAGATAACATATACAGAGACAGATACAGATATAGATGATGTTAATTGTAGCAATTAAAGTACAATTACAATTGTTTTTGTTGAGTTTCTAAATTATGATTGATTTGATTATCCAACTACAAGGTTAAGGGAAATTAAAATTTAGACTCATGAAAGTAAATAAATCATTTATTATCTCACAATTAACTAATCCAAAAGTGAATTAGTAAATTAAAAACAAACACCAGATTGTATAAGAGTTAATTGTTATCATTAAGATAACAATCAAATTATATTATCTGGTTACAATTTAACAATTAACTTTTTCTTACTATTAAAACACGAAGTACGTGCTAACTGATTAACGATAACTTTTAATTGTACTTAATTTATTATTAATCATGTTGATCAAAGCTTTAATTGCTAATGTTGCAAGTGATTAACTTGATCATTCAAATAATACGAGAAAAAAAAATATAATCATCATGTTACATTAACATGATGATTAAATTTAATGTTGAAGAGACAGATGTAGTTGACAAGATTGTTAATTGTAATTAACGATCGAGATGATTAACTTGATTTGAATTTGATCTTCAATGAAATGAATAATCAATTAAATCAACAATTACCCAAGATAATCAATATAAAATAGCTTATGATTAAATGATAAACAATTAGCATAATATTATCATGGAAACCACTGAATGACAATAACATAACTTTCATTGTTATTATCATCTGATGATGATGAGGATAAGGATGAGGATGAGGATGAAGATGCACAGTCACGTGTTTAGATTCATTGATAATATTATTCAATGAAAATTTGATAAAAATATAAGGACTTGAGGTCGGAATAAATTTCCCACAATATCAATTTACCTCAATCAAAACTAACACTCAATGAATTATGTTAATTAAACACTTAGATAATCAAACAATTAATAGATGAAATTGGAAATTAAATCTAATACTTGATCAACAATCAACGGTCTGGGAGTGAAAGGTTACATATTATTATTGAGATCGAATTAATTTTTTCTTTCTCTTTTTCATTTCCTCGAATTCAATATTATCGAAAAATATTAATAACAATTTAGATTCTAATCTTATGTGAGCTTTATAATATTACTCGAGATTGAAATCATGGGATACGAAAGATGAGAGAGAGAGAGAGAGAGAGAGAGAGAGAGAGAGAGAGAGAGAGAGAGAGAGAGAGAGTTTTCGAATCGAAAGATCAAATTCGAATCTCTTACTTATCTTCTTTCCATTGGATATATCATAATATTATTATTCTAAAATGTTCTAAGAACATTTCTTCTTTCTTTTCTTTTATTCCCGAATAATATTTCATGGGGTGTGTAATAGTAGGTGGGATGAATAGAAATCAATATAATGTTAATATATCGAAGTGATCAAAGGAAAGTTTCTTTCTGTTTCGAATAAACAAAAATAGAACTTTTTTTCTATTGGAAATTTTTTCCATGATGATTTACAAATACACTCAATGTTCATTCACACTTTTATTAACAATTTAGCCGAGCAATCAATTGCCAGTTGAACAATCATCATGATAATCATCATCAATTTATCCCCAAGAATCAGGATCATTATCAACAGAATAATATTTTTTTTATTTTGTTCTTATCAACCTTTTTATTGATATTGTTTTGTAGGCATACTGATGATGATGATGATAAGGATGATGATTGAGTAGTGGGAGGGATAAAAGGAGGCGTTAGGATGTAAGAAAAAGGGAGGAGCCGGAAGAGGAAATGTGAATCTATTGGGATAAAGTTACAACTTTTCAAGTTTTGTTTACTTTTCTAGTCCATTTGTTGTTGAAAATGATATTCATTGAGTTTTAGACCATTAATTAAATGATTAACTAGTTAACAATTAACAAAGAAACCTTTCATTTCTAATGTAAACATAATCAATTCAAGATTTATTCTGTTGATTGTTTCCAGAATCTAATTTTCTTAAAGGTGTATAACCATAATGATATTATCATTTAAAAGATAATCTATTTTTTTTTCTTCATCAATGGAGAAAAAAAAGATAATCCAATTATCATCACAATTATGAGGTTGACAAGTTGATTGTTGATTGTTACCTGAAACATATACTTACCCTAAGGGCATCTGAATGATGTTTATCCAGTTGATTTGATTGTTACAAACAGTAACCATTGAGATGTGTGAGTGAGCGTCTTGATGTGCCAAAGGTGTAAAGTCTATGGTGGAAATGTTTACTCTAAGTATTAGAAATCAAGGTGAATAGAATGAAAAAATTATCTACTTGAAACTCAATCTCGTATCAAGATGCAGGTAAAGAGTATCAATGGCTAACATGCTTCGGGCAACATTGATAAAAGAGCAACAAGATGAAGATAAAGATGAAAAGAATCTCTCTCTCTCTCTCTCTCTCTCTCTCTCTCTCTCTCGTCATCATCTTCTCTACTATTGGTTATCAAGGTGATTTGATTGTTTACAATCAATGGAATTGATTTAGTTATCATATTATAGCTTCACCTTTGAGGCTTATCAAACTTTGCCAATTTCGTTTCAATGATTTTACACAATTTAAATTGTTATGATTATAAGATGCTTGTAGCTATCTTATTGTATATTTACAATCAGTTAATCATAATATTATTGATTTTGATTAAAAGTCTTATTAACTTTGAAATAGCAAAATACCCGCGAGCAAATCAAGTCATCACTTTTAATTGCTTTCTAATCATGTTATTCAATTTACTTTTTAATTTAGTTTAACATCTATTACTTGGAATCATTTTAATCACAATCTATTAATTTTAAACTGATTGTTGATGATTAAATTGTAACTAATACTGTTTTTTTTTATTCTAATTGATTCAATTTTTTTTTTCATAATCAGATGCAATGGATTGATAAACAATCGGATAATTGCTGCAACAATTGGATTTAATTGTCATCATCAGTACCATCATTAACTGTCACAATTAACTTAATTACTGTAAAGTAAAAACCTCAATACTAATTGTAAAATGTGTTGTAAAAATGTAAATCAACAATCAACAATCAATATATTATTATTATTATTACAATTAAACTGTAATCTGTAAATGATTAATTTAATAGCTGATTCAATTAAACTGATTTTACAAATAAAAAAAAATTAAGGTGAGACGATGTCAACAATTAAATTTGATTGCTGTTCCTTAGATTAAACAATTTAAACAACAAATCAAAAACTAATAATGAAAACAAAATCAATCAATCAATGAAGTTAACAATTTGATTTAGGTTTGGTTGATTAGTTAATGATAAATAGTTAATCAAATTGCAAATTCAATATGAACAATCAAAGGTACATTCTGATTGGAACAACAATCAAATTGAATCTGTTACAATTTATTACCAATTTTTAACAACTCAATTTAATACAATTGTCAATCTCACAGCCCAAATAGCAACAATCAATTGATACAAATCTTATATATCATGATAATGATAATCATAAGACTAATCGTAATGATTAAAGGATCAGAATAATAATAATAATAACAAAAAGTTTGTTAAATAGTAAAAAGTTTGACCATGAAATTGTTATAACGTCTTTGATTGTTGTGGTGGTTTTGTTAACAAATCAACAATGTTAATTGTTACAAACGTGTTGATTGTCAACCAAGACAAACATGATTATTACAATGATAATATCAATCGGTGATTAAGAAATTATTACAATTTAAATGGTTTCTCCCTCTTTGTGTAGATTAACTTTTCCCATTGGATATTAACGAGCCTTTTGATGTCTCCATTTATTATCAAGCAACAAAAGTACATTTAAACCATAGACCCACCTCATCCTCTCTCTCTCTCTCTCAAGGTGGGTGGGTTTTTCCATCAAGGTGAACATCTATCCCACCTCCTACTTGAGGGTGGGAGTTTAGGTAAAAAAGCAAAAAGTTATCACCGATAATCAAGCGAATCTAATCCCGATCGAAAACCTTTTGATTCAATTGATTGTTAAACGATAACGATTAAGTTGTCACATCGATTTTTGGTTCTAATAAAAAAGGTTATCACATTGGTGCTGACATTTGTTGCCACTTTTTTTTCACCTTATTACATTAGCACCAATGTTGCGAGACTAAAGGTAAAAAAACTACCAAATTAACACTAATTGTAAATGATAACAATTGATTGATTGTTGAAAGGTAGCACAATAATAACAAATGTAACCTTAAAATTGAAAATTGATTTTGATTAAAACATCAAACGGTTTGATTATCATTATATTATGATAACAATAAAGCAGCAGAAAAAAGTTAAGCCAACAATTAAATCCAGATTAATTTAACACACACACACAATTTAAATTACCATGATACAATTTATACAAATGATTAAGATAATGATCAACAATCAACTGCAAAAAAAAATAATATTATATCAATGGTAACCTTATAATAACAATCAAGCAATAATAATGATAAATATTACAATTTAAGGTGAATACAATCAATTTGATGATGATGATTATGATTATTGTTATTATTATGATCATTGATTATGATTATGATTTAAATTGTTACCTATAGAAAATTATTTGGAAAAAGTTATTAGGTAATAATTTGACAATAATATATAACATATTATGAACCTTGCGAGTGGGAGTGGGAAAATTATTATTACCATGATAACTGAATCCATTGGGGTGGTAATAATAATAACTGTGATTGAATTAGATTATTATTATTATGATTATTATTATTATTACTTTGATGATGATGGGTTAAATGGTTGATGAGATTGTTAAGAAGTAAATTGAGATGATGATTATTATTATATATGAATGATGAGGATGAGGATGATGATGATGATGATGAGGGTGGGAATGATGAGGAATATATTACTTTCTACCTTATTGTCTAATGTTAATCCCATATAAATGGAAATGACCGTCAGCTGGTTGAGACAGAGAACTGAACAGTTTTTCATCTTCATCCTTATCTTCATCATCGTAACTCTTGTCTCTCTTTTTTTCCTTCTAATATCATCCCTTCCGCTTCCTCTTTGTCTTTCTCTCTCTCTCTCTCTCTCATTCAGTTTATATGAAGTTTTTTACTATGAGTTTGTTTTTTTCATGACTTTTGTTGTTTATCATCAGCATCATCTTGTTATCATCTTTTTAAAGGTTATCAAAGTCTCAGAGAAAGATGAAAAAATTATCATCATTCAATGGATGATGATGATTGTTCATCATCTTTTGTTAACTTTCATTGGTTGATTTCTATTTTATCACTTTTTTTTTATCATATTGAATTAAATTTTCATTCTGATGGGATAACATTTGTTCATCATCATCATCATAATAATCAACGATAATGTCGATTCATTTTTTTGCTCCTCTCTCTCTCTCTCTCTCTCTCTCTCTCTCCCTCACTAAAGTTATCGTCTTTTACTATTATCATTGTTTCAATTTAACACCTTGATTCACTTTTGTCATCATTGGTGATAGAGATCATTGTGATTATCATGATGATAAGTGGGAGTTGGTGGGTGTTGGCTGTTGGTGGTTTTCAAGATGAATCAAAGATGAGGATGAGGAAAAAAAATTGTTTCTCTTACTCTTGTTGTTTTATTCATATTTTTGTCCATGAAACAGATGCACTTGATGGTTTTTCATCATAATTCAGGTTATCTCGATTTTCAGTTCGAAATCAGGAAGAGGAAAAAAATTTTCTAACGATTTGTATCAACTGAATGAGCCCATTAATTGAATGCTCATGATAATGGAATCATTTTGCTCTCACTCTCTCCCTCTTTCTCTCTCTCTTCTTTCTGTATCTTCCTTTTAATATTCACTTTAAAAACCCACAATTTAGAAAATAAGTTCTTTTTATCATCAACCTTAATCATCTCCATCAACATGATAATCATAATACAATATGTAATCTTTAACATCATCATCATATTTAGATAATAGTCCAAACCATTTACTGTCATTATAAATACTTGTCGATAAACTAATTTCTTTCTAATTGTATTTCTTTTCCAAAATGTCATTTATTTTTTCCAAATTGATACTTTTTACTTCATCATCTAGAGAAATACAATTTACCACGAGCTGAAATTTATCAGATGGCGATAAAATTATTGAAATATCAATTCTAAGGTATTAACTGAAAATTCATTCATCGTTTTTAGTTGATAAATAATCCAATAGATGTCGACAGGATTGAGGAACTTTTTTCCAATTTGAATGAATGTGCGCCATCTATTGGTGAGAGGAAAAGATTTTATGACAAATCGATTTGTTTTCATTTTGGTTTTTCCATTTTCACTTGATCATTTTTAGTTCTTGTTTCATGTTTTTATTTAATTTCATTTTCCGTTCGTAATTTATTGGTTTGTGTGTGTATATACCTACTAATATAATCACTGTTTATGTGTATGTTGGTGTTTTAATCAGTCTCTCACCATGATGAATATTGATACCCGGAGTATTGAAAGATACTCTCATTGTCTCTGTCTCCATGTTCAACCCACCTCACTGATTATTGGCTTTATTCATCTGGTAAGTTTAACCTTTTCCTATCCTTGTGAGATAATCTTAATTTACCTTTTCTTTACCCAACTTAATCACAATTCCGAATGATTAACACTTAACAATTAAGATACCACCTTAATGAAACAAAAAGACAGACATCCAATCATAATCCAGAGAATTTTTTGCCCTTCTCCAAAATTTTGGTCAAGAGAATATTTTTTTTTTCTATTCTCTTTAAACCTTAATTGAGACCTCACCTTAAAGCCTCTTAGATAAACAATAATATCATCATTATTACCGTGAGAATAGATGACAAATATTTGATTTTCTTAGTTGATTTGTGAACTACCATCAACAATTTCAGTCTTTATCACAAATGATTAAATAATGATGATGATCATCATTGATTGAAGAGATTCAATAAAAAATATATAACCGTATCTCTGAATGAAAGAGCCTTTTTATTTTATTTTTTATTATTCTATGAGATTGATTCTCTCTCTCCCTCTCTCTAGTATATATTATTATTGTTATACATTAATTCATTTACGATTTACATCATTGTTTCGTTGCTGGAGACTATCTCTCCATATCTCCCTCCCTCTCTCTCTCTCTCAGTTAGATCATATTTCTCACTTTTCTATTATTATTTATTACCTTTATATAGACTGTTATTAAGTTGCTATGGCTTCAAAGTGTATACTCTTTATGGATTAGACAAAACATAAAAAGGGGATAGAAAACGATTGATAACTAAATACGAAATATACTCTGTTCAAAGTACACATACTCACACGCACCAATTAAAATATAACATTTTGTTCAAGTTCAGATTTTGATGATCATCTGAGATTGACCTTGATTATTATATTTTTTTGGCAGAACAAAAAAGTGTTACTAGTTATTAAGATTTTATGGATAATCTGAATCAGCTCCTTGTTCTGTTATTCATTTTCAATTGTTTCCTTTTCTATCTTGTAACGAAATGAGTTGATTAACTTTATCATTTTCTTTTCTTTTCTTTTCTTTTCAGATCTCTTCTCTTTTGAGTATCGTTCTACACTTCGAGGATTACACCCAATACCATGAAGATGAAAGACGTATGATTGATCTTCATCGATCAACAACAACCTCATTAAACATGATGGTCAGTCTAATGATGGCCATTGTCTCAGCTCTATTAATCTATGGTGTAACGAAATCTCGTCCATCTTACCTGATGCCCTTTTTTGGTGTTAAACTTTACATTTTTTTCTTCTCCCTTCCCGCATCCATTTCCATGTTATGCTTTTCACCTCATATCTCACAATATGAGTCCAATGGTAGAACCTGGGGAGGTGAAATGAAACGCCTATGGTCATCATCTGATCCAACTACGGCTTACACTTCATCCATTTTCATGGCTCTCATTGAATTTCTCTATCAATTATATTTTATCTGTGTTATATGGAAATGTTATCGCTATTTAAAGCTTAAAGAAGCGGTTATTCCCTTACATATACCTTATCATCTTAGAGGAGTTGAGGTAAGTTATCATCATTATAACAATACTATTTCATAGTCCATCTTATCATCATAATTTATATTACATAAAATGTTTACATCAAAACTTGTTAGTAAACAATTGAGAAATAACAATAACCTCTTCCACCGTTAACAGGAAGTTATATAAATGAAAAAAACAAAGGAACCATAACAAATTAGATAAACAATGGAAGGGAGAAAAAGATGATGATGATGATGATGGAAACTCACACAATAAGACTAATTAAGATTGGAAATAAAGTTGCATGAGTTTGATTTTTTTTTCACAACTTTACATGTAACAAAATGTTTTCAGCGTCAAATTTTTACTGATTTTGAGCAATTGATTGTAAAGTTTTCACTGGAAAGTTCTGAATGTTGCTCATCTTTATTGAATGAGTAATTCCAAGGCTCATTATCATCATCATGACAAGAAGTTAAAGTCTTTTATTAATATTTAATTGTTATATTGTTATTTGAATGTTACTACTTTATTTCAGGTGAACCAGAAAAGTAAAAGATGAGGAAGAGAAAAACAAAATCTTATGAAGGGAAAATAATGAAGAGAATGAATCTTCATTGAATGAACCGGTAGGATAATAGAAATGAAGCAATTAACTTAATTACGATTAATATAAATCCCTTTCTTCATAATAATCATACGGAACCTAAAATTCAAAGTTCTGGCTACTTCTTATAGCCTTAGGGGCTTTTTTATTTGTTTCTCAGTATTTAACCCTTGGGCAACTTTCGTCATGATGATGATGATGATGATGATGATGATGATGGAGTTAGTGATGATTGAAAGATGGAGGATGAGAGAGAGGTATAGTTATGTCTCTTTGTTTTCACGCTAATTCAGTTATTTCAATTGTTTTCATGATGGAAAAAAAGAATCATTGTTTCATTGACTTTTAATTGATTTATTTTTTTCTCTTTTATTTAGATAACTGTTCCCTCTGAGATTGTCACAACTCCCAGTGCCATGGCTCCTCCTGATTATGAAACTGCAACCAAACTGAATCCACCACCAGATTATGATTCAGCAATTAAAAACTATCAAATGATACCTGGAGAAAATCAAGTTAACAATAACATCACAAGCGTAACTGAACCAATAACGATAACGGATTCACATAATAATACAATAAGAGAGGGACAACAGCATCATTTTAATAATTCATCTCACCTTCAAACTAATGATTATCATAATGTTAATCAGCTTTCAGGATCAGGTGAAGATAATAAAGGTTCATCTTCAGAGAAATGTTCAGCTGATAAAAGTTCATTTAGTGAGACGACAACTAGTCATCATCCTCCAAGCAGCCAAAATGATTCAAATTACGATTCAAGTTATCAATTGACCAGTAATCATGATGTCGGTGGAACCAATATTGATAATTCAAGTTCAACATGTGATACAACCACCACCCACACAACCACCACCACCACCAATGACTCCAGTTAATTGAATTAAAAGCCATGAGCCTCAACTCCTTTCATCAAATTGTTACCACCGCCTTCCAATATACCCACCTTACTCTACCTCTCTCTCTCTTCATGTCTCTTCATTTACCTCTCCCACCCTTCACAAGGAAAGTGAGAGAGGCGGAGAGAAAGCGAGAAAGTCAAAGACAAGAGGATAAATGCTACAAAAACAAACCACAACCATGAGCTGATTTTAATTCTTATCATTATTATAAACAAATATTATTATGATTAATTAATCTACACTAATTACTAATATCCTCTGGTGAAAAAAAAAGTATATATAAGTTTTTAAGTCAACAAATTACAAGAAGAAGAAAAAAATTTTAATTTTTCTGCCATTTAAACACTAATCAAGCAGAGTGGACTTAACTACTATCATCATTTCTGGTCATCATCTTGATCATCATCATCATCATCAACATGAACATCATCATCGTCATCCAATTAATTAACTAATTGCTTTCCCAGATATTTGCACAACCAACATAATTAAATGAAATCAATTATTATAATATAATAGTTATGCCTTCAGTGAGATATCAGAGACGATATATAATTTATATTTATAATTTACAGAGTAATGTTAACAATTAACTACAAGAAGAAACAAAAAATTTAATGCTTAAAATTAACTTAATTTAATTAATTCATGATGAAAAAAACATAACTAATATTATTAGAATCAACAAAATTTAATTAATCTAATATATATATTGATGTAATAATAATCATTCAGATATTAATATCATGTAATATATACAATAGTTAATTGTAAAGTTAATTAACCTAATTATTGTTGATTCGCAAGGTAAATTGCTAGAGTAAAAAACAAATTAATTGTATTATTATAATTGAAAAATCAAATGAAACAAAAGTTGCAATTTAACTTTTACTTTGATCACTTTGATCAAGATTAAATTGTAAACAAAAATAAAAGACACAAATTTTAATTGTGACTGTTGATCAACAAAATGAAGAGAAAAAAAAAGTTAATCAAAACTTTTCCACTTACCCTTCAATTAGTAAACAATTAAATCAACTATTTATTCAGTTAATAGGTCACTTAATTGTTGAATTAACAGTAATCATCAACAATGGAAGAAAAAAATTTTCAAATTATTTAATTTTGTATTCCAACAATTAAGAGGAAATCATTACGATACTAATTGGACTTGAGAAAACAAAAAGCTCTGATTAAATTGTTTAAGGGGAAAAAATGAACAAACAGTGATAATTAATTACAACAATTAAATGTTAATTAGTGTTGAAAAATTTTCTCATTCAACTTGATAGTGAGAAAACCACATAATAGATGTCGCTGTTGTCGACGAATTTTTTTCCAAGTTGAAATCAATTAACTTTGCTAATTGTTTGTTAATTGATTTCAGTTCTTGACATTTGATATAAGCAGATGATTATTATTATCAGAATGATTTTTTATCATGATCAAATTGAGGTAAGGTCGTTTCTCACTTGAAGCCGAGTGAATGTTTATAATGGATTCATTTGTTTCTGTAATTGTGATTGAAGTTTTTTCTTTAGAAAATTTGGAAAAAAATTGGATCAATTTGTTGATCATTCTGAAGATGGAGAATACAATTAAAGGTGAGGTTATGATTGTCAGGTAAATTCCAGTAACATATTGGTAGTTTTCCACTTCGAGAGTTCGAAAGCCAACTGATAAGTGTCTTTTCTGATATTCATTATAAGCTCTCGATTCGTCGGCATAAATAGCGTTTTGTTTGTTCCAGAAAAGATCATTCTCAAGAACGGAATGAAATCGTGAAATAAGAAGGTCACTAAGTGAAGGGGAAATGAGAGTCGAATACATATAAATATCTTGTATTGTACTCGATTTAACTTTAACTATTGTTGGACTGTAAAGGTTAGGATGACCTGAGAATGCCTTTCGAATTATGTTGAGTTCAATTGAGTTACCAAAGAAAACGGCCAGAGGAAATTTAGAGATCGTGTGACTGGCCAAAAGGGTTAGGTCGCTATTACGATTGATTATAAGTGAATCATGGACACGCTGATTGATGTGATAGTTTTTACCATTGAGTAAACCTCGATAGCAATTGGAAGTCGTTGAAACGTAAGCACGAAGATTTCGAGAGACAAGATCGCTGATCGATATGACGGGTTCCATTTGCTTTATACTGACCAGATTAGTCTGAAAACTGGCTGAATAAAATGTCTGGAATTGAAGTAAAGCTAAAGTCAATATGCAACCAGCGAGTTTAGGCAAAAACTGAGATGAAAATGTCGGCGCTTTAGCAGATCGGTCGGAAATTTTTTCACTAAACCGTCGATAAAAAATCGGTGACCAAATAGAAAAATTTCTCAATATAAACGCAAGGGTCAGTAGAGTGATAAGAAAGATCATCGTTGATGCGGTGAAAACCCGAAGAGTGGTCAAGATGTCACTAAATCGCCGTTTAGGTGGAGTAACTAAATACGATAAAAAAGCACAGTCCAGTTCCATAATCGGCGGCGAAATTGTTATATTTGGATAAATGCTATCAAACAAAAACAATTGCGTCGATTCTGAACAAATATCATTACGATTTAATTGAATACTTCGTGCGACATGGTGACAAACACCTTCAATACAACCACGATTATTATGACCAGCAACTGACCAAGTTAAATTTAGCCCGCGGCCAATTATACTGATCCGTTTACCAACATATTCAAGCAAAGGACCTTTAACTGTTTGGGTGATATTATCAATGAAAATCAATGGAAATCTATCAATTAATCCAACCCTTAACATAGTCAACAATTAACAATCATTTCCATACAATTAAAAGTATTAACAATTTCAATGGTAACTCCTTGAATAAACTGAATTTAGTTCACTTTAATTGTATTCAATCAGCAGAATCAGTAGCAACTTTAATCAATAGACACATCGGATTTTAATAAAGTTAATTGTTGTTATTAATGTTTCTTTTATCTTAATTTACAGATTTAAATCCTATTAAATACTATTGGAATATTGATTAATTGTTTCCAACAATCAACAGTAACAATCAAGCTATTTTAATCATTGGTGATTGTTTTAAAGTTAATGATGATAAACAATTAGGACAAAGAAAAACTTTTTTTTTTCAATTATTGATATTTAGGTTAATCGGGTAAAGATTTAATATTTTTTAAAACTTAATTTAATTGCACAATTAAATGATTAACATGTAATCCCAATGTCTTTACAATTAGCTATTCAAGGTTAACACAATTAATGATTGTGATTTCTGTTTGTTGTCTAATGACAATTAATAATTTGCAACATTGAGCCAAATTTGCATAACTAATAACCTTTATTGTTAATGAAGAAAAATTAAATTCTGAGCAATTATAATGATAATCATCATGAGGGTACCTTGATCATCATCATCTCATCAATTGATTGTCAATAAATTTCTTGTCTCATCAATTAGTTGATCATTAATTGAAGTGGAAACTTGTTAATTGTTACACCCGAAAAATAATCAAATCATGGAGACTAATGTTCAAAGTTTATGTTATATTTTCATGGTGATTTTCATGATGATGATGATGATTATTCAGCCCAACTGTTGTTATCATGTTGACAATTCCCAGCCTGCAATTGAACCAAAAGCAAATGATTCGCCTGGAATTATGAACACTTTCGTCAACTTCATTCGGACAGTTGATGATTTCATTGAATTTCTCAGGTCACTTCCTTATGACATCCGTCGGACCTTTAACACTGCGGTGGTCAATCCAATCAGTGAGTTGTTCCCATCAAATTCAACGGTGGGTGTATCATGGTGGGAGAAAAGTTGGCTTAATCGTACCCTTAACGATGCATATTCAGCCCTCAACGAGACACAAATTAAAACATGATCAGTAAATCAGTCCAACAATCAACTTACAACCCAATTGATTATCACAACTTTCATATCTGTAAACAATTAAGTGCAATTAAAAAAAAGTTTCATCTCTTTGGTAAAACTTAAAACTTTACTAATTGTCAATTATATTACTTATTTATTATCGTGAAAATTAATTGTAACCAATTGTAATTAGCAAATTGTTCTCATAAATCTAATCCTAATTAATTGTTAATCCCTTTTGTAAAGTCAAAGTCTCAATCCTGAGAAGAGAAAACAAAATCGAGAAGAAAAAAAAAAGTTCTAAGTCTTCAAGTCGATAATAATCACTCCCAACATTGTCATTAACTGGATTTACGGAAATGGAAATTAAATCAACAATTATTGTTTTAACCATAATAATCAAACGATAATCTGATTGTTCATAGCATTACAATAATAATCATCAAGTTAATATAATTCAGTTGTACGATAACCATGATAACCATGAGTAATCAATGAGTCTGCTCATGAATTCAGCATTTAACTGAACCTTTTTTATATATTATTTTATGATTTGGTTATTTTTTCATCTTCCTGGTAACCATTAAGCAACATAAGTTAACTTGAATCACTTGAATCATTGATAATCATTAACAATCAACATGGAAACACTGAAAATGAAAACATGGTGATTATTGTTATTTTTGTGACTTAATAATCAACTTTTTCATTTAAATCAGCAATTAACTTTTGCCCCATTCAACACCAATGGATAAGGATATCTGATTTTCAACATTTATCATTAATTTAATTGTTCTGGTGGTTAATGAATATTCATAAATATACAATTTATCATTTACCTCTATTGGTTAGTTAATATTAAAATTGATTGTGTCTCTCTCACTTTTTGTCTGTCTTTGATTGTGATTATGGATCAACACAATTGGACAATCAAAAGTAATGCTGATTAAGTTTTAAAGGTAAGTGATTAACCAAATATCAACTAATTGATTTGTTTCATCATCATTATGGTGACAATTATGATAAGATAAATGATTAGAATTGTGAATGTTTCAAGTTAATCAATGAACTTTTTTTTTCTCTTGATTTTGCTTGAACAAATGAAGAAACAATTTGATTACAATCAAATTGACTCTCAATGTTTTCATGATGATTTAACTCAATTGAACCATGATGATGGTGATGATCATGTTGATGATAAGTTTTCCATGATTATTTTTATCATTTGATGGTTTTTTTTTGTTCATCAGGAGGGAAAATCATTATTCAGTTGAATAGAGGGCGAGGAGGAGGTTAGGTGGCGGTGGAAAAATATAACAAGAGGAGGAGGCGAAAAAAATAGAGGAGAAAAGTCGAAGAAGAGGAAAAAAGGTTCAATTCGAAGAAGAGAAAATTCAAAGTTCATTTAGAACTTTAATTCTGAACAATAATAAGAAAATAATAACCAAAGAAGAGAAAGAGAGAGAGAGAAAAAAATAATCGAACAAGATAATCGGATGATCGATAATAATTCTAAAAGTTCGAGTGGTTCATTTTCTGAACATTTATCCTCGATAACTAACAACAAGAATAATAATAGCAGCGATATTAATCATCATGATCATGATCAATTTACATTTAATAATGTATCATGTTCATCAACAATTAACTGTAACAATCAAAATCTACCAACAACAACATTACTTGAGCTTCACAAGGGTCGACCAATTAAGATAACAATTAAGGTTATCGTACCAGTTAAAGATCATCCAAATGTAAGATTATTGATAATCTGAGAGATTAATTGTGATAATTAACTGTTATGGTTTAGTATAATTTCATAGGGAAACTTTTAGGACCCAAAGGTAACTCATTGAAATGGTTACAGGAAGAGACTCAGACCAAGATGGCGATTCTGGGTAAAGGGTCAATGAGAGATAAGAAAAAGGTAAATAAAAAAGTTCAGAGGAAAAAGTAAAATTCAACATTTTGTTAATTTAGAAAATTTTTCTCATTTGTTCAACTCAGGAGGAAGAACTGACCAGCTCAGGTAATCCAAAGTATCTTCACCTGAAAGAGGATCTTCATGTTGAGATTAGTACCTTTGCCCCTCCGGCTGAGGCTTATACTCGAATGGGTCACGCCCTGAATCAAGTTCAACGTTTCCTGGTCCCTGATTATTATGATGATATTAGGCAACAACAGCTGAGAGAATTGGGAGTGTTAAATGTAACTCGAAGTGGTTCAAAGGGTGAAAATGAAATTGATTCAATGACCACTGGTCATCATCACCTTTACCATCATCATCATGTTCATGGTGATAAATTGATGGTGAACGATGATGATCAGATTTTTGATGAATCAAATGGTTCAATTGGTACATCAAAATCTAATGGACTTTGTAGTAACACCCAAACTCAACCAACACCCAATTCACCAACAGCAACAACAACACCATCAACCATTGGATCAAATAATTTAAATAATCATTCACATGCTCATCATAATCTATATCATCTTCCTCATCATCCTTATCGCCATCATCATCTTTCCTGTACTGATATGAGTCCTCATCATTTTCACAATCATCATCCCTCTCACTCTCAACATCCTCCTTATCTTCATCTTTATCCTCATCATCACCATGCTGGTTTTCAGACAAAATGTTCACATTGTCCAATCGCTAAAACAATCATCTCATCAACATCTCCAACACTTTCATCATCATCAACTTCATCCTCAATCACAGCTCTAACAACGGGAGGAGGAGGTAAAACAAAGTCATCATCATCATCATCGGAAACATCACCATTAATTAACAATGATTATGATTTAATCACAAAGGATTGTAGTTGTCCTCATGTTGAACTTGAAAATTCAGGTAAATTAATAATCTCATTCACCTAATCAAACATATAATTTAAATGATCAGATTGAACAACAATGAAAACTAATCCATTATAAACATGAGAGTATCATTGATGACAAACAAGTGATTGATTGATTGATTGGTCACTAATTGATCTGTAAACAATTAGTAACAAATCCCATTGATGGTAATAATCAAGTAACTGTTAACCAACAGTAGATCAATAAATTGTTACCATTGTTACCAGAAAGTGATCAGTTTTCATTAACACTCTCTCTCTCTCTCTCTCTCTCTAATAAAAGTAACCTCATTATCGAGTAAGAAAAAATTTCTCGAAAAAAAAGTTCTAAGAAGAGAAAAAAATTCGACACCTATCAGTTCTTTACCTTGGATAAAGTAACATTAATATCGATCAGAAACCAATTGACTGTAAATATTATCGAAAGTAATAGAAAATGCAAAGAGAAGAAAAAAAAATTCGAACTTTTTTACCACCCACTCCCACCATCGAACTGTTCACAAAAAAAATATTACTCAACCTTTCACCATTAATGAGACCCAGAGGTATACATGGGATATGAAAGTTAATCACGCAATCAGTTGATTTAATCAACAATATCAAAGCAAAACAACAACAACATCAACAAAACATGATGATGATAATGGATGACCAATGGAAAGTAAACAAAAATATAAACCAATCAGTTGATTAGTGGTCACTTTAAAATGTCAATCAAATGAAATTGCTTTGAAATGTTGACCATGTTAATTTTCAATTTGTTGATAAAAGACACGAATCCATTTTGTTAATCAGTTTGATTACAATCAATATGAAACTAATATTATTTTTAGTTTACTGATCAATATGAATCAATTGAATGAACTTATATTCACATTTATCAATATAAATCATTGATATTTGAATGTTGTACATCATGAAACTGGAATGAGTTTCAAGTCAACATGGATATTGGAACGGAAATTGATGAGAAGAGAAGAAAAAAATTTGAATAAAAATCAACAAAATCTAAATGTCGATAACAACAACAGTAATAATAATAAAGATTCAGAATTGTGATCAGAATTCAATATTATTACATGATAGATAAACATGATTACTATATAAACACATGGTAAATATAATAATATTTCTGACAGGATAAATAAATAACTGAATTGATAACAATCTGTTGATAGTAATCATAACAATATATAATAATTGCAATTGCTCATACATAAATATCAGAATATAATAGTTACCTTGATATCTATTGTTTTTTGTTATTATTGTTTCAAAAGGAGGAAAATGATTAGGAAAATCTCAGAGAAAATGAAAATATCAGTAACTGTAATTAAAGTATAAACTATATTTCTGAGTTAATAACAATTAACAAGCTACAAATAACACAATTGTGTGTGTCTCTATGCTATTATCATGATGATAGTTATTGAATCGTAAAGTTATTTAACCACCATGGTGAAGGCGGGGAGGGTAAGAAATAAGTTCCAATATATATTTAAGGAAATACTCTGACATTATTGATATTCAGGGTATTTTTTGCTCCTGATAACCTGAGACACTTTTATGATGAAGTGTCAATAGTTTTGTAAAAGTTTCAAGATATTATTATTATTTTTATTTTGTTGTTATTACTTATAAGTAACAACAAAAAGTTGAATGAAAATTTTATCATGAGGGATAATCAATGAATCAATTGAATCATGAGCGTAACAAAAGAGGAGGGCGATGAAGATAATGTAGATTATATTATATTATGATTATTATTAATTTAAGTGATATCAAAATAAGAGATAGAATTGAAACTCTGCTCTTTTTTTTATAGTCCGATTCTCATTCAGCATGATCATCATCATCATCATGTACACGAATGTATTTCATTGATCACGAAATCTTAATGTTATAATATCATCGATGATCATTTGGTCTTATCATCAATTAGTCTCTGAATCTTTTGTTCTGGTAATCTAATCGATTAATTGATCATTGATTACTAATCTTTTCCTTCATTATTGTTGTTATTATTTCCAGTTGATTACAATGCTGAAGAAACATTGAGAGAGAGAGAGAGTTTAGATCGATGGGAGTTGGATATTACTATCATCTAATTCATAGGAAGCTGATGAGTGGGAGGAAGAGACTGAGAGAGTGGGGTTGATGGTAGAGGTGAGAGAGGAAAACGGAAATAAAAGTATACGAAAGTGAATTTCGAATCGATGGCGAATAATATTCTAGAGTTCTGAAAGTAAAAGGAAAAAGTACTGAACATCTAAATGTTTTTCTACTAATTAGCACTCGAGATATTAGCATTTATATCAATTAGGTTAATTGTAAATAGAGAAATCATCGTAATCAATGTTTCGCTTTGACTGTGTGCTGTTAATTGTTATTACAATTAGAGTAGAGAAACGACTTGCAAATATTAATAAGCTCTGATGATGATAATGATAATAGATAATTAAAATGGAAACAACAACAATGATGATGACATAATCATTGAGAATCATCAACATGTAAACATTGAATTTAATTACTGGACTGATGGGAAATGCAGATTAAATTAGGAGTGATTTTGATTAACAATTTAATCAAATGAAGCAATTAGTCCATTGAATCGTTATTAATCTAATTATATTACATAACAGAAAACAACTCTGAGATCGAAACGATTGTGAGAATGTAATTTTTTATTAGATCAAAATGATCACCCACTCACGAACTTAACCAAATGGATAGAGAAACTATTTTCCAACCTTCACCTTGTTCAAGTGAATGAATTAAATTTAATCAATGGTTAATTATCACAATGATGATAATGATAATCATCAAGGTGAAAGAAAAACAAAATTAATCTATTCTGACCAAATTTACTCTTCTTTTAACTTCCCTGTAGGATTTTATCAAAGCAACAACAAGAATTGATTATAAACATGATAACATGATGATCCCTGATGATGGAAATGATTCAAATTGTTACAATTAAAGTTAAATTTTACTATTACAATACAATTAATGATAAAATTAACTTTCCGTTGATAATGAAAACTTTTCAATGGCCCATCAAGTTGATGAGAAACAAAATTATTACAATAAAAAAGTTTTCATCAATAACTTATTGTAACTTATCATTACTATTATCATGATTAACATGATACAGCTGAATACATGAAATATAAATAACATATTCATGTGATCATGGATTCAGCTGAAAATAATGTTCATTAATATAGATTATATTTCAAAGTCAAAGTTATTATAATGTTAATCCAATAGACATAGAATAGTTTATCAATAATTAACTAATTTTTTAATGATCGCAGGTAAAAACTATTGATCAGTTGATTGATATGAACATTTAATTTGATGAGAAATTGAAAAGTTAGTGTTTCTTTTTTTTCATCTTCATCATTCAGGATTCAATTGTTAGCCATTATAATGATAGGTTAATTTTAGTGTTAATCGGTTGGCTGATTTTTCATATTGTTTGATGATAATCTGACGTTTAGTTGATTAACTGATTGTTTGAAGATTGTAAGATGTATAAGCTGATTGTTATCATTATCGAATGAGGGAAAAAATAAAAAAGTTCTATGAACAATTTGAATGGTGAACAGAAATTGAAATTATCGATTTGATGAGAAAATCAAATATCTTCAAATGGATTAGTTGTTCATCCTTTGGGTGGAGTTGAGATTGAGATGATAATCATTGGGTGGAAGATTAAATCAGTTAATCGAGTTGATCTGATTGGATTGATAGAAAAACAATTGATTGGTTTTACCAATTTAATGATATATTCTAGTAGTTGATTAACTTTTCAAAAAGTATAACGGATTAGTTAATTGTTATCATATAAGTTGAATGTCAATTTCAGTTTTCTCATTGGTTTGATTTTCATCATTTGATAATTGTAGTAATTGTTTCAAATAATTTACTCAATGTTTTTGATTAATTAGTTGTTTTTCCTCTGTTCTCTTAATTGTTGTTCACATTTAAATTATCAACACTTTATCCAGGGAATTTAATTGTTGGTCCTTAATTAAATTTTTATGTTTTTCTTTCTTATTGGATCAATGTGATTACATTGGAATCTTTAATTATTGATGTTAATTGTTGTTTTCTTTTACTCCAGATGAAACATGGAATCCAAAAAGGACCCATTGTAAAGTTAATCGTAATAATCAATGTCGACAATCAAATTTACCTTATATTACAAAACGTAATTTCAATCGCTGTTGAATGGACAGTTAAACGGAATTGGAAAAAAAACTAGATTTAATTATCGAAATTGTATTAATATCTCTAATTATTCTTACTGGTCTGGTGAATATCAATACAAATTGTTTATCTCCATTCATTAAAATACTACTGATAATATCACTTAATTGTTTTAATCATTAATTTCTCATGAAACTTCATTCACAACAATTAATCGACGATTTGATTTTCTTTCATATCCATTGATCTGAGAATTGAAGATTTCAACTAAGGTTTTCATTCACGATTTTGAGGAAGAAGAGAAAATATAAATTGAATCAACAATTACTTTAGATTTGAGAGATTTTTTTTTACAATTGTAATAAATATTAACAGTTTTTCTTTAAGAACAATTAACAAGCAATTTTTAAATTGATTACAATGAAACTTTGATGGGTTAACATTTTCAACGGTCAACATTGATTTACCAAAATAATAAATTTAGAAATGGTCAAATTTGATTGACATGGATGAAGTTGAATTGGAATGATTAATCAATCGGAGAAAGAGAGAAAAGGAAGCAAAAGAGTGGCCTATGAAGGCGGAAGATCAAGTTTAGAGAACTGAGATTCAAGGCCAAAAATTGAACGATAGCATGAAAATTGGAAGATTAAGATTATTTAAAAACATGTATTGCAATGAACTTCAATTTCATCTTTTCCTCGAGTAATATTTTCTCATATTTGTCTGTCTTCATGGTGTTTTCATGGTTCTGATGTTTTCCTATTTGATTTTGCTAGTCCCCATGGTTGAAGTTCCGCTGATCCAAAGAGGACAAAAATTATCGAAGTGACTGAATAGACAATCGTTGATGTGTAAAATACCCAAGACCAGCTTTCCAATGAAACCTCTTTACTGGTCATTACACCGACATAAAGTGGAGCTAAAACTCCAGCGAAATTGGCAATACAATTGGTTATTCCCATCAGAGTTCCAGCATAATCGGGAGACATGTCAACATGGGTAATGTTAAAGCCCGAATAAGTGAACCCATTGAAAGCCATCGCGAGGAAAAGCGCACCAACAATATAATTAAAGTGACATTTGGCAACTGTTAATCCAACCAAACAAATCGCTGGACCAACAAGACCAACGGTATTGGCGATTTTACGAGCACAATTTATCGAAATTACATTTGATTTAATCATAACATCGAAAACATAACCAGCAAACCAACCAGCAATCGCTTGTATAAGATAAGGTAAACCCGAAATTAGACCATTCTAGTGATGGAAACAAAAAACAAAAATAGATTGAAATTAGAATCTTGTACTGAACCAACTTCTATCCAATGTGATTACCTCTTTAATGTCCAATCCTAGAATTGTCTTGAGATAATTGGGTAACTCGAATAGCAATGTATAGAATCCCCAATTTTGACCAAAATGAGCGGCGACCAAAGCCCAAACTGCGGGTGAAGTCACGATTTTCAGCCAAGGAGTATTACCAGACTAAATTTAGATCGAGACAATAACAGATTATACATTATTGTATCAACATTAACACATTCGATAAACAATTTCAATTCTGAGACAATTTACCTTTCTAGACTTTTCGCCATTTTGTGTGGTACCAATGTACAGAATTTCTGCCTCACTGATATACGGGTGCTCCAACGGAGACTCGTATATAAGTAAAGTCCATAAAACGAACCAAATAAGACCAATTGAACCTGAAATTTTGAACAAAATAATGATCAATATATAAAGTCCATGATAATATTTTGGGTCTATTCTGAGTTGAATAGGATCAAGAACACGAACCGAAAACGTAAAATGCTGATGGCCATCCACCGAAAAGACCTGAATCATCAAGATAACCGGTAGCAACCATAGTGATCATGGTTCCAATTTGTGCTCCACTATAAATAATTGCAGTCATAAATGAACGATCTGATTTGGGAAACCAACGGGCACACATTGAATGCATTGAAGGGAAAAACATACCCTGTAAGTTGAAAGACAAAGATAAACAGAAACAAGATGAGAAAATGAATCAGCTGACAATAAGTTGGTTATTTACCTCTGAAAGACCAATTAAAACACGACAACCCATAAAAGCTAAATAATGAAAACGAGCAGCAATCGGACAGAGAAGAGTAAAAATTGATGCCAATAAAATGCTAGCTGCAAGTGGCCTTTTAGAACCGTATCGCTCAGCTAAACGACCTGCAGGTATTTGAGTTATAACATAGCCCACGAAAAAACTTCCAACGATATAAGATTGAACTTTAGCGTTCCAATCAAATTCCCCGGTGGTCAGTTGAGTCTACGAAGAAAATATCAAGATATTAACATAAATGGACTTTAATTTACAATCGAAAAATTGAAAATCTAAACTCACATCATTTCCCTGCAATGGATAAAGATGTAACATCTTCTCCATTTTATCGAAGCTTTTAGCATCTGGATCATAACATTCAGTTTTAACCACGACTTCGCTCGAGTTGGTCACTTCCTTGGACATTGTGACGATCGCCACACTTAAGTTGACCCGAAGTGAGTAAAGAATATTGAAACCAAGAAAGGCCATCACGAGGAAAACATAACGAACTGGGAATGTCCATCTTCGACCTGTTTCGTTGGATAAAGTAAACGAGGTGAAAGGTGGATTAATAATCATGATGGACAATCAATTAATTAGAAATCATCTTTCTACTATTAATATTAAATCTGAAATTTGAAACAATTTGAAGATTGAGAAAGGTGAAAGTAATAATTTACTAATCATTTGTTTTAATTTCAGTTGTAAACAGATTCAACAATTGAATTTGAAAACAAGTTGAAGTATCTTGACCAATGGTCAGTCAATTGATTAGCTATCATACTGACCAATAGCTGGAGCTGAAAACTGTATCATCTATGATTTATTAATCAATAGTTAATTGTGATTTTTAAAGAGGTTAATCAATTAGCAGAAAACTAGTTAATTACTGCAAATCAAATTAAAAACAAAAATTGGTAAATTCAACTTTAAATTGTTCAAAATTTACTTCAATCTATTGATTGCTTGCTATAAAACAATCATCGACAATTAGACTAATTTAATATACAAATTGATTCTATTTATGGTAATTAAATCAAACTATTAATGATTAAACAACCAGGATCCTAATACAATTAATTGCAAATGAGAACAGGTCAACAATTACATCGAACCAAAAATAGAAACAATTAAATGAAGAAACAATCAATTAGATTAACTGTAATTAGGGTTAGAAAAGTAATCGATACCAATGTATTAATCTTGAATAGTAATTAGTTGATTATTAAGGCGTTGACAGTAAAACGAAAACGTTATAACAATTAAATCACCAAAATGATTAGACGATTGTTAGCAATCCAGATGAAATTATCACGAAAAATTTAGTTGATTAAATAGTCAAGGTTAATTTGATTGTCACTATATTGACACAAACAGATAATCAAATTGGGAACTATTCAATTGTCAATAAAGAAAAACATTTAACAATTAAAACCGTTGATTGAAAAGGTAGCACAATTAACATCAACCTTCATGTCACATTTTCTAAATTGTGATATATTGAACAATTAGAAGATGTTTAATCAAAGAGTAAATCCAGTTACTGTCAAAATGCACAATTAGATTAATTGTTTAAAAGTAACTAATCAATTTAACTTACTTTCAGTTGTCATGATTAAAAACTATTGGATGTAGACAACAAATGAAACAATTAAAAACAATTGAAATTTAAAAGTAATTAATTAGAAATTATTTATAAGGATAATAAGTGTAAGTTAAGTCTGTTTTTTGATCAGAGAAAACAAATTAAATGATGAGACAATTTAAACTAAATTTAATTGTAAACATTGATGGTTGATGATCTAGATTGTAAATGAATTGTAAATCAAGTTAAATTGTTGAACATTATTAAGTTTGTATATTTATATTAATGAGGGAGATAAAATTGAGGGAGCCTAATGATGACAATCAAAATGAATAGTAATCAATGAAAATTAAGCTTTTGATTGTAATCATCATGCCAATAAAGTAACTTTCCACTGAATTAATTCAGTTGATTACTCAATGACAATCTAATGATAAAATGATTAATTGTTATACCCAATTTTTAGGCGATAGAAATTAATTGTGGATTTAAACATCAACATCAACAATCAATGGAAAAATAAAAATTGATTTAGATCTTATTATGTTGATAAATAGACCTGAAGAGTTGTAACAAATTGTAGTAAACAATTTGTTAATCAACATGGTAATACAATTAACGATAAAAAAGGAACAATTAAAAACAACAATTAACAAAATAAATTGTTACCTGTAAATTTTTCCCCGTAAAAATTAATCTAATTGCTAAATGAGTTATGACTGATAACATATTTGGCTTTGAGCTTTGGTGTTTGCGGGAAATTATTATTTACAGGAAATATAATTGTTGATTAATTGTGATTATCTTTTTAGGAGTTGATTGCAAAAAGTTTCACTGATATTGTTTGGTTGACAAAAATTTGAAAAATTTCTCGCCTCACAATTAAGCCAAACAATTAAAAATCACCATGTAATTGGTAATAAGAGTCTATTATCAATGGTCTGGTGTTCCAATTATAACTCTATGGCTCTAAAGGAGATGGAAAATTTTCTTAAGCAACTTTGGCTCCTTTGGATGTCTTCAAGTAATCAAAATGTTGGATAATCTTAGAGATAAATTGATAATCTCAACCTTTGGATAGATGATTATGTCAAGAGATTAGAAATAAAGCCAAAAATTAGGAAGGATTATGATAATCTTTTCCTGTCTTTATTTCACAACTTTGTCTTGATATCCGATTGTTTCTTTCGTAATCTAATTTTTAGATTACGAAGGCAGACAATTAAACAGCAAAACAATTATCTGAGCTAATGAACTCGCTGGAAATTTCCATTGATAATTAAAGATTAAGACGAACACGCAAATCAACAAGGAAGAAAAACAATTCAAATTGTCATACCTATTGAACAATAAAAGAGAGAGAGAGAGAGAAAGAATCATAAATAGAGAATAAAACAATTTATCAAAGGAAGAACAAGAAACAATAACAATTAGACTAATATTTAAAAATAAAAGTCATCAAGTGTTGTAATAGAAAATACTAGAAGGAAAAAAAAGAGTCAACAATTAATAAAAACTCTTAATTATCAATCTTAAGTTAGCACAATTCTTACCTTTAATACGTTTCTCTGGTAAGAGAAGTGATTTAACTGAACCTTCATTTTCATCATCCGATGAACAAGCCATCTTTTTGACGATCGAACAAAAATTCGAGAAAGTTAAACAACTGATCAACAGGAAATTAAGATGTAATTATGGAATAATCAATTAACCAGAAGGAAGATTAAAATAGGTAAGATGATTATCTTTAAGGTTGCAAATTGATTCCATTAAATTGAAAGGTAAATTTGTCCACGTTCAATGTTACCTTGACAATTGTTTTTCACTCTTGTTACATTGAACTTAATCAATACGATCAACCAAAAAAGGTGTTAGAAACATAGAAAATAAAACTTGATTAATTTAAATGGTGACTAAAGATATTGAAACAAATGAACAATTAGATTAGATTTAGATTATCGGGTTTCAGGTTAAAAGGTAAACAAATTTTTCTTTTTCGGTCCAATCAACAGTTACCATGGAAACGAGACAAAAAAGAAAACCGCCAAATATAAATTTCCTTTATTGGGAATTTTTTCTTAATTTTATACCTGTCCCGTAGGTAACTTAGAGCGGCATTAACAAGTACCATGCGATCTTCAGCCTTCCTTGGATTCAATTGTCTTTCCATGTTTACCTTAGTTTGTGTTTTACGTTCACTTGCTGGTGGATTTTACTTTTCCCTTTTTGCCAGTGTTCCGGCCACTCTTGGCTCTCTTATGGCCATTCTTATTGAACATCCGTCACGGCGAAAAGCTCTGGCCTTCTATTGTGCCAATGTTGCCTCTGAGTGCATCTATCGAGTTACCCTTCGTCACTCAAAGGTCAAACCAATACCAAAAGGTGAAGTGCTAATATTTACCTTTTCAATATCAATGTTAATGTACATCACCTCAAAGTATGGCCTCCGTCGTGATCCAATCGGCATGGCATTGAAATTGATCTTGGGTCGAACTGAATTCTCAAGGAAAAGATCTGATCAAACGGAAATAGAGCTCAAAGTCAACGATAATTCTGATTCAATGGTCAACAATAATAATAACGACCTGGTAGACGACAAAATTAAATCTTATGACTCTGATTGTGATAAAGATACTCAAGGCTCTTGTTCAGATGACCAACAACAACTGATTGAATACGACGATGGTCAATCATCTTGTTCATCTTGTTCATCTTTTTCATCACCTCCTCCACCATCATATTCACCTTTGTCATTGATAAACAAAATCGGTACCTGGTTTGTAAATGGTAAACATGATGCCTGTGGCCATTCAAGTTCTTGTTCCTTGTATACTCTTGGTGGATTTAGTCGAAGCTTCTTGACCCTTTGGTTTGGTCAAGCTGCTCTTGTAGCTGGTCTTAAGTTTCCCCAAATCCGTCGTGATCCAGGTCTCATTTTACGAGTTTTAACCAATCGAAAAAAGTTGGAACTTTGTCTATTTGCATCTCTTTTCACGGGAATATATCGATCAACACGATGTAGCCTTCGATGGTTAACTAATTCAAGTGAACCCTGGCATTCAGCCTTAGCTGGAGCTCTTTCAGGACCAACAATGATCTACTATCCAAGCTCATTAATCGCCACCAATATTGCCTGGAAGTGTATTGAATGGTCACTACAACAAGCCTGTTCCACCCCGTACTTACCCTCATTTGACACGTTGATACCCTTTATTTACGCTGTTTCGGTTAACATGATCTTTGTCACTTTGGTACTTGAACCAAGTTGCATTCGTCCTTCATATGTTCAATTTCTCGATAGTTGTTCTAATCACAAGCTTCACCAAGTAAATCGAGGTTTACTCAAACTTTTTGGTACCGATGCTCACATTGGTTACGAGGACTTTTTCCCCGACCTCGTTCCCGAATATTGTACCAAAAAGTTTCTCGAAAGTGTTTTCGTTTGGCTACTTTAACTTAAAACTGACCATCAACTTACTCACCCTCATAATCATCGATCTCATCTTATCATCATGGATGAAACTACCGTAGATTTTAAACTAACTGATGATTATGGAAATCGTATTTGAATAGAAATTAAATATTTATTGAATTTTCTACTTCAATTCTTGAGAGAATCGATATTTGGTGTAATCAACCGATTTCATTTTGGAATTCTGTCACAAAGTTGAAGGTTCAAGAAGCCACATGGGTATTGGTACAATTGTCTCTCGTCCTTAAGATAATTGATAACTTGTTTCCAATCGACGTCTTTGGTTCCTGATTCAGTTGAAGTTGAAACCATGTAATTGATCAAACCTTCAACATCTCCATTGTTCAAATATTCAATGATCTTGGACTTATGTTCGAGGATAAAGGTGACTAAATCGGCTCGATTAACTGATGAATACGATGTTCCTGGTCCAGTTTTCCTCATGGCCCATGCAACCAGCGAGGGAACACCATGTTCCTTATTCTCAGTCAACCCAATTTGTTTCTTTAAAGCGATCTTTGCTAAAGCCACAGGCCAAATAACTCCAGTGGTTCCTGATGCCTCTGCATTACCGACCATCAAGTGTAACACCAACAGCGTCATTATTTTCGTAGAATTTGTTGATTTCCGCTCGATGATCTTCAGTAAACTTGAAAAATTTCTTCAAATTAATTTTTTCTACTTCATTTTCTTCGGCAGGATCAGAGGCAGCCCAAAGGAGGAACGGGATTGGAGCAGTATCAGGCCCATCTTCAGCTATTATAAAGAACAAAGAAACAAATGAATATGTATTAATCAGAATTTCCAATAAGAAATTAGCTTAAAAAAATTCAATAAGATTTACCTGAAGTAAGAGCCACCGAGAGGGTGAAAATAAGAGAAACGATAATCAAAAGTTTTACCATTTTATTGTTAACTAGAATTGAGATGAAATTTGGTTAAAAGTATTAGTAGATTGAGTGAGTTAACTGTAAATATTTTCTGTTTTCAAATGAGCCTTTTTATACTAAAATTTACTAATTTATCGATGATTAGATCCACATCGAAACCCTGAATTGTTGAATACGATTTCTTTTATCGCATTGATTTTGATTAAGGTACAATTGGAACAGAAGTTCTTGAAAATTAAATTCATATTTTTTCATTAATGAGTTAAAATAACATTTATTCATCTTTTCCCAAATCACTTGCAATCTCAATTGTAACTTGATAAACTCATTAAATTTCTTGTAATTTTTTTTATCTTCTTGATTGTGATTAGGGTACAATTGGAACAGAAGCTCTTGAATTCAAATCTATTTATGGAAATGATAATATAATATCTATCAGTGTTATCGGTGTGATTTAGAATGACTCAGAATAAGTTTGATACAACTTGTTAGTAAAAAGGTTTTCTTTGTATTCAATTTTGCAGGACAAATAGTAATATTGTTCATTCAAACGTTTTTCTCGGATGATAATGAATTTTTCGTTCTATCATTAAATAGTCAACTCAATGGTACATGTTACGAGCATCGCAAAGTAGCATCATACAGTTCTCATATTCAGATCTGAAGAGAGAAACTGAAAACTTTCATCTAGATATTTAGGTTTGAAATGAGTCTCAGAATATTTTGACTTTCTTACTTTTTTCTCACTTTGATTAAGTTTAAGGAAAGAAAAATCAACCAGCTGATCAGAGTTATATTGAAACTTATCTAGATCACTATCTTGAGCACTCGTTAAACTGGTAAGTTAACCTCTAATCTCCCGTTGAAAGTTTCTTCATCAATCTTGGACTTTCTGGTTTTCGTAATAAAGATCATCTTTCAACAATCTATTCAAAGCTCTATCTAAGAACGGAATGAACTACTTAAGAGTTTAGTTAAAAGAAATTTGTTTCATCTTGTTAACGAAAAACTTTCATTATTGTTTTGAATTGATTTTTATATTTTTTTGTGTCTTTTCGAGTGATTTGTATTCGACCTTCTTGCCACGATGGATAGACCAGTATGCCCATATGTTGTAGACAGAAGCGGTAGTAAGTAGATAATCTGGTTCTTTGTTTTTGTTTAATTTAAATGAAGATGAATGAGACAAAAATTATTGATAATCTTTTCGTTTGATTTTTTAGGTTATGTGCAGAAAAAGGTATCTAGAACTGGAATTAGTCTTTACGATTTGCTGAAGATATCTGATTATTCAGAGTCTCCTGGAGCTTTGAAGTATCGGAAGAAAACGTGCCTTCGATCATACAAACCATCGGATAAAGCACCAGATCCAAATGATTACCGAAAAGTTGGATGTGAATATTTACTTAAACTAAGAAAGATTGTAGGAAGAACTCAAATAGACGGGAAACCTTTCTTGGTCTTTAACTCCATACAAATGATTTTAAGCATCGAAACATTAGAGAATGAGCTGGGTCATCCTGAAATTGACGAGACGAAACTTCCTATAAAAGACTATAAAAAGTTTAAGAAGCCTGAAAACTTTCTCGAGAATACTGATGAGTTTGTTATCCATATGAAACGAGCGAAATTTACTCCGTTACTCTTTTCTTGTGTTTATTGTGATTGGGACTCGACTGATCTTTCGGAGGTGAAAAAACATTTATTTGGACGAAAAGTCGGAAAAAAGGATAAAAGTTTCCTTGTGATCGATTGTAAAGAGAGAATGGTAAAAGATGGAATTCAATTTCAACCTGATGAAGTTCCAATCGATCATCCACCACCTCGCATGTTCCCTTGGGCTCTAATTAAGTGTGTCAGACCAGAGATGGTTCATTCTAAAGGAGAATTTGACTTAACAGATGCAATTAAAGCCCAATGGAATCTATTAATGCTCGACAAGAGACCCAAATATCATCGCTTAGTCAAATATTAAAAACTTCTCTACTGTAATTACACTTACACGTAACCTGTGGGTATAAATTTTGAGACTTTTTGTTTTAAAAAGTCTCATAATTTATCCCCACAGGTTAGATACATTGTATCGGGTGACCGAAAATGAGTGAGTATCTTAAGAATGGTAGGTCCTAGAATAAAGTTGCTAGTACTTAGCGGTTAGTTCTCTTTCATTTACTCATTTCTCTTTATTCATTGTGTTGATTATTTATAGTGGAGCACAAATTGGAACCATGATCACTATGGTTGCTACCGGTTATCTTGACGCTTCAGGTCTTTTCGGTGGATGGCCATCAGCATTTTACGTTTTCGGTTCGTGTTCTTGATCCTATTCACCCCAGAATAGACCCAAAATATTATCATGGACTTTATATATTGATCATTATTTTGTTCAAAATTTCAGGTTCAATTGGTCTTATTTGGTTCGTTTTATGGACTTTACTTATATACGAGTCTCCGTTGGAGCACCCGTATATCAGTGAGGCAGAAATTCTGTACATTGGTACCACACAAAATGGCGAAAAGTCTAGAAAGGTAAATTGTCTCAGAATTGACATTGTTTATCGAATGTGTTAATGTTGATACAATAATGTATAATCTGTTATTGTCTCGATCTAAATTTAGTCTGGTAATACTCCTTGGCTGAAAATCGTGACTTCACCCGCAGTTTGGGCTTTGGTCGCCGCTCATTTTGGTCAAAATTGGGGATTCTATACATTGCTATTCGAGTTACCCAATTATCTCAAGACAATTCTAGGATTGGACATTAAAGAGGTAATCACATTGGATAGAAGTTGGTTCAGTACAAGATTCTAATTTCAATCTATTTTTGTTTTTTGTTTCCATCACTAGAATGGTCTAATTTCGGGTTTACCTTATCTTATACAAGCGATTGCTGGTTGGTTTGCTGGTTATGTTTTCGATGTTATGATTAAATCAAATGTAATTTCGATAAATTGTGCTCGTAAAATCGCCAATACCGTTGGTCTTGTTGGTCCAGCGATTTGTTTGGTTGGATTAACAGTTGCCAAATGTCACTTTAATTATATTGTTGGTGCGCTTTTCCTCGCGATGGCTTTCAATGGGTTCACTTATTCGGGCTTTAACATTACCCATGTTGACATGTCTCCCGATTATGCTGGAACTCTGATGGGAATAACCAATTGTATTGCCAATTTCGCTGGAGTTTTAGCTCCACTTTATGTCGGTGTAATGACCAGTAAAGAGGTTTCATTGGAAAGCTGGTCTTGGGTATTTTACACATCAACGATTGTCTATTCAGTCACTTCGATAATTTTTGTCCTCTTTGGATCAGCGGAACTTCAACCATGGGGACTAGCAAAATCAAATAGGAAAACATCAGAACCATGAAAACACCATGAAGACAGACAAATATGAGAAAATATTACTCGAGGAAAAGATGAAATTGAAGTTCATTGCAATACATGTTTTTAAATAATCTTAATCTTCCAATTTTCATGCTATCGTTCAATTTTTGGCCTTGAATCTCAGTTCTCTAAACTTGATCTTCCGCCTTCATAGGCCACTCTTTTGCTTCCTTAAGTGAAGAGAAGTCCAAAAAATGGCTCCATCTAAGAGTGAGTAAAGTCACTAGTTAATTTTCGTTAGGAAATTCATCATAACTTAGACAAGACCATCTTTTAGTACGTTCTTATTTTCTTTCTAAGTTGATTGTCTTTTACTTATGTGCGCTTTATTGTTTTATTTATTAATAACTAAGTGTTCTTGCCCATAATGAATAGACCCATATGGCTATTCGCAGCGTATCCAAGTGATGTAAATAAAGGTAAATAGTCTCGTTCTTTGTTTTTACCCGAGTTTCAGTAACTGTGAACGAGAATAGTGGCTGATTATTTACTGTTTTACTTTTTTAGGATTTATGCCCAAAAAAGGTGAATCAATTTTTCTTAAGCTTGGTCATGGACATGAGTCTTTGATGATACCTGTTCCTTAGAATCGCCTGGAGCCTCAAAATGTCGGAAGCGAACTTACCGTCGACCATATAAACCATCGGGTACAGCACCAGATATAAATCTTCATATTAGATTTGAATGTAAATACTTGTGTTAAATGGATTAGTTTGTAGTTAGAACTGAATATTCATTCGTTCACTTTTCCTTTCAGTTTGTGCTCCGAAGAAGATAATCAAAACTTATACTACTCTTTTCGACTTGCTGAAAATACCTGATTATTCAGAATCTCCCGGTGCTTTGAAATATCGAAAGAAAACTTGCCTTCGGTCATATGAACCATTGGATAAAGCACCAGACCCAAATGATTATCGAAAAGTTGGATGTGAATATTTGCTTAAATTACTAAGACTAAAAGCAAGAACCACAAAAAACGGGCAGCATTTTTTGATCTTCAGCTTCCCCGAAATGTTTATCACCATGGATACAATAATAAATGAGTTAAACTTGCCTGAAAGCAATTTTGCAGACAATCCAAGATATTCCAAGAACGATTCTTTTGAAACAGATTACTTTCTTAAGAATACTAAAGAATTTGTTTACCACATGAAACGTTCACTACACACTCCGTTACTCTTTTCCTGCGTTTATTGCGATTGGGACTCGACTGATCTTTCGGAGGTGAAAAAACATTTATTTGGACGAAAAGTCGGAAAAAAGGAAAAAAGTTTCCTTTGATCGATTGTAAAGAGAGAATGGTAAAAGATGGAATCGAATCTCCATCTAATGAAGTTCCAATCGGTCATCCACCACCTCGCATGTTCCCTTGGGCTCTAATCAAATGTGTAAAGCCCGAAATGGTCTTGTCCAAAGGTGAATTCACCTTAACAGATGAAATTAAAGCCCAATGGAATCTATTGATGCTCGACAAGAGGCCCAAAAATCATCGACTAACAAAATAAATTTTCTATTCGATTTTCGATACACTGACCTGAAACAATTCAAACAAACGTTCACCTTTATTATTCTCAACTTAAGATCTAACTTTACTTAAAATGTGAAAATGTGAACACTTTGATCATGATAATTTACACTAAAGGCTGAAGGTGAGAGGGAGAAGGTCAAAACTTTTACTTCTCTATTTTTTCATTTTCATTTTTACCGTTATCTTTATCTCATCTTTTCCTGTATCACATTTGATTTCAATCGTTTTACTTTGATTACAATTCCATGTCTATTTACGTTTATAACTTCTCAATTGATTGTTATAAAAATAAAAAAGAATTACTATTAGACTAAAAATCTCGATCGATAATCATTCTATTGTTAATTAATAGATTTCCATCTTTTTATTCTTGATTAGATGTGAACAAATGTAAACAGCTAATCTACTTATGCTCGAAAACTAAAAAAGAATAACTTTTCTACCTTTCGATTTTTTTACTCATCACAAATCTTATATGCATCATATTCATTATCATCAATTGAAACTTTGAAATCTTATGTTAACAAAAAAGTAATTAAAAATAATTAATAAAATGAATGTTAAAAGCATCTTCAGTTAACATGAAATAGAAACTCATTTGTTTGTTGATGGTTTTTCTTAATTGTGAAAAAAAATCAACTGACCATCACAATGATTATATTATTTAATTGATTTCTAAATCATTTTTATCATATCTAATCGCTACTTCATCTTAATTAGTTGTTTCTTTATTTTTTATCTTCTTTCTCTATTCATCTCTGTTTTCCATCATTTCCTTTTCCTTTCCTCTTTGAAGGTCTTACAGACAACAAATTGTCTGCAAGTTTTTATACTTTTCTCAATTTCTGAACTGAATTTAATCATTAAACTGGTCATCAGGATCTTAGAAAACAATCTGTTCCCAATAATTTTTACGAAAGACTCAACGAAGTTGAATTTCAAGTTTCATTGATGCTGTTTGGTTAACCAAAGTTTGAAAATTTCTCACACAATTAAGATAAACAATTAACCATCACCGTATAATTGAAAATGATTACCAGACCAATTATAACTCTATGAGCTATGAAAAGGATGGAAATTTTCTTGTAAGACTTTGGCTTCTTTGGAAGTTATCAAAATGTTGGATAATCTTCGAGTTAGTTTTTTAATCTTCCATTAAATTGTAACAATATAGTCACTGTATGATTACAGTTTGTTTGATTTAACATCTTCAACCTTCTGTCTCATTCAAGGTAAGTTAGGTTTTTCACAATTAACTAATTATGTAGTGTGATTGGTGAAAATATTATTCAACTATTGAAATTTTCGATTCATTTTAACAAGAAAACGATTCAAATTCGAGCTTTTGTTACATTTCTTGCGATTTTGCAAATTCAATCTTTGCCTTGACTATATTGCTAATCATTTAGAATCTTATTGATATTTTTTCCTGAGATCAGTCATAAACAAATGTTCAGTAATTGTAATATTGAATGATACATTGAAATGTACCATAGATTTCAAAGTAACTGATAAACAGCCAAAGCCTTTGAGTTTGCATTCACTTTTAAATCATTCACGCAGTTGAATATAATCAATGAGAGATAAAGTTAGATAGAGCCAGAGATATGAACAAATGTTCTGTAATTAGAATTAGAATTTAACTGAATCCTTCATCTGAATGATATCATTATAAATGAAAAATCCTATTTTGGCCCTTCACTATCGGTGACACTTTTCATGGACCTTAAATCATTCAAACCAAAATTCACTATCATTAATTGTAAATTAGACTCTAACGTTAGTCTCATTTGTGTAGCATGCGTTCACGTTCAATAAATTGATATTTATTCAATTTTGCAAGACAAATAGTAATATTGTTCATTCGAGCGTTTTTCTCGGATGATAGAATGATAATAAATTTTTCGCTCGGACATTAAATAGTCGTCTCAACAGTATATGTTACGAACATCATAAAGTAGTATCATGCAGTTTCCATATTCAGATATGAAGAAAGAAACCTAAAACTTTCATCTAGATATTTAGAGTTGCAATTTAGTTGAGTCTCAGAATATTTGACTTTCTTACTTTTTTATCACTTTGCTTAAGTGTTTAGAAAGTAGAATCAACCAGCTGATTAGAGTCATATTGGTATTCATCAAGATTATATACTTATGGACTCGTTAAACTGGTAAGTTAACCTTTAATATCCCGATGAAAGTTTGACATAAATCTTGGACTTTCTGGTTTTCGTAATAAAGATCATCTTTGAAAATCTATTCAAAGCTCCATCTTAGAATTGAATGAACTACTTAAGAGTTTGGTTGGCAGAAATTTGTTTCATCTTGTTAACAAAAACTTTCATTATTGTTTTGAATTAATTTTATGTTTTTTGTGTCTTTTCGAGTGATTTGTATTCGACCTTCTTGCCACGATGGATAGACCAATATGCCCATATGTTGTAGACAGGAGCGGTAGTAAGTAGATGATCTCGTTCTTTGTTTTCGTTTTAATTTAAATGAAGATAAATGAGAAAAAATGATTGATCATCTTTTCGTTTGATTTTTTAAGGTTATGTGCAGAAAAAGGTATCTTTAACTGAAATTAGTCTTTACGATTTGCTGAAAATATCTGATTATTCAGAGTCTCCTGGAGCTTTGAAATATCGGAAGAAAACGTGCCTTCGATCATACAAACCATCGGATAAAGCACCAGATCCAAATGATTACCGAAAAGTTGGATGTGAATATTTACTTAAACTAAGAAAGATTGTAGGAAGAACTCAAATAAACGGCAAAAGGTTTTTTGCATTAGGATACCCAGAAATGCTTTTAAGCATCGAAACATTAGAGAATGAGCTGGGTCATCCTGAAATTGACGAGACGAAACTTCCAACGGAAGACTATAAAGATTACAAGAAGCCTGAAAACTTTCTCGAGAATACTGATGAGTTTGTTTACCATATGAAACGAGCGAAATTTACTCCGTTACTCTTTTCCTGCGTTTATTGTGATTGGGACTCGACTGATCTTTCGGAGGTGAAAAAACATTTATTTGGACGAAAAGTCGGAAAAAAGGAAAAAAGTTTCCTTGTGATCGATTGTAAAGAAAGAATGGTAAAAGATGGAATCCAATTTCAACCTGATGAAGTTCCAATCGATCATCCACCACCTCGACTGTTCCCATGGGCATTAATTTCATGCGTCAGACCAGAGATGGTTCGTTCTAAAGGAAAATTCGACTTAACAGACGCAATTAAAGCCCAATGGAATCTATTAATGCTCGACAAGAGACCCAAATATCATCGCTTAATCAAATAACTTCTCTACTGTAATTACACTCACACTTAGATACATTGTATTTCCACCATTTTCCGCATAACCAATGATCTTGGTCTTACATTCAATGATGAAAATGGACCAAGCAGTTCGGGTAACCGATGAAAATGGACCAAGCAGTTAGACTAACCGACGAATATGATGTTCCAGGTCTAGTTTTCTAACTGGTCCATCTTCAGATTTTACAATTTGTATAAAGAACAGCGAAACAGTTTATTTAATATCATTAATTGTGATTAGAGTAAAACTGCGACACTTGTACCTAATAAATGATGAAAATTTTCAGCATCACGACGAGTTTCAGACAAAATATTTTACCAACAATACAGAGACGCAACATAATTGAATGGAATAGAACATGATTTTGGTTATTTATGATCAGCGATTTTTCATTAATTTTGTTGAAACTTTCTGGTTCTCGTATAATTATAATAAGAAGATGATCTAAGGCTCCATCTAAGAATGAAAAAAGTTACCAATGAAGTTTTGGTAGATATAAATTTCTGAGAACTTGGACAACACCAAATTGTATTAGTTTCTTATTTTCCAAGTCAAATCTTCCGTTCCTTGATTGTTTCGTTACAACTAAGTGTTCTTAATCACGATGGATCCACCCAAATGTCCATCTGAAATAAATACAAGTAAAGGTAAATAGATAATCTCGTTCTTTGTTTTAATTTATTTACTTGACTTTAAATGAGCCAAGGAATATTATCTTCACGTTTACTTTTCTTTTTAGGTTTGGTGCCCAAGAAGCTCGAACCAAATTTCGTCAAAATGGGTTTTACAAGGGGCAGTATTCGAACTGTGCCTGATTATTCGCGAATCCCTAAGAAAACTGCACGTAAGTACTTCCTCTTTATGTCTAAGATTCCACTAAGAACTGTTTGTTTTTCCGTTTACTTTTCTTTTTGTTAATAGGTTTTCTACCATTAGAACCAGACGAATTTATATTGGCTATTAAGTTTAAGAATGTTAATCTTTTCGAATTTCTGAAGATACCTGATTACTCAGAATCTCCTGGGGCCTTGAAATATCGGAAGAAAACCTGCCTTCGATCATACAAACCATCGGATAAAGCACCAGATCCAAATGATTATCGGAAAGTTGGATGTGAATATTTACTTAAATTGCGAAGACTTGTAGGAATGAAAACAAGATATGGTCAGCCTATTGGTTTTTATGTACCCAGAAATGTTTCTATCCATTGATGCATTAGAAAATGAATTGGGTTTCACTCAAAGCCAATTAGCAGGAGCCAAACGATGTTTCAAGTCCAATTCATATAAGTTAGATTGCTATCTCGAGAATACTGATGAGTTTGTTTACCATATGAAACGAGCAAAATTTACTCCGTTACTCTTTTCCTGCGTTTATTGTGATTGGGACTCGACTGATCTTTCGGAGGTGAAAAAACATTTATTTGGACGAAAAGTCGGAAAAAAAGAAAAAAGTTTCCTTGTGATCGATTGTAAAGAGAGAATGGTAAAAGATGGAATCGAATACCCATCTGATGAAGTTCCAATCGATCATCCACCACCTCGCATGTTCCCTTGGGCTCTAATCAAATGTGTCAACCCAGAGATTGTTCATTATAAAGGAGATTTCGCATTAAAAGAGACAATTAAAGCTCAATGGAATCTACTAATGCTCGATAAAAGACCCCGAACTCATAGACTTACAAAATAAATTTTTTATCGGTTAGTTTTCTTTCATTTATTTAAAACTTTCCAAATCAATATCCATCTTTATCAATTCAGGACGAAACTGTACCAAGGAAAAATCAAGCAAATGACCGAGCAAAAAATAACTTAAAAACATTCAAATTGGTCAATTGATTGGCCATAATTTTCATTTACGTTTTCTTATTCATAGATCTTCTTTCATCCACTGATACAACAAGTAAATTTTTCCCAATACTTTTGGTAGGAGCTTTACATGTGTACTGTAATTCTGTTTATTCAAATCCATTTAATCGTATTTTTTGTATCGTCAACAATACAATATGTATAATTATTTACACCCATTCTAATATAAATCTATCTACAATCGAATCGAGACAACTACTTTAAGACTAACAACCTCGGGTGATCTTAAATAATGATGCAGTATTTAAAGGTCCCTTCGATAATAGTAAAATTATCTTTGGTCTTTGAGATGAATTGATCTTTTTTCGGTTGTTTCTCAGGTCAGATCTTTTCACGATTCTTTTCTAGAACTGGTCTTTCTAACATGTTGGTTTTTCAAGCTCAACTTTCACCATTAACACCAAACATAATCACACACTCAGATCACTTTTATAGTTTTAAGTAACTCTAAGTATCACTGATGTTTTGTTATTGTACAATGAAACTAAATCGACTAAATCAGATCTTCAACTTTGTCACATTCGTCAAGTTGTAAGTCTTAAAAAGCCACACGAAATGTTGTTGATCATAAATATCAATATAAAGAGAGTTTCGTCTAGAAACGACCAAAGTGAACAAACTAATCAATTAATGAGTAGCTTTACACAAAAAGATGACAAGGATGAAGGTGAGAGGGAAAAGGTCAACAATTTGACTTTGATATAAACTGTTTTTCACCTTCATCTTTATCTCACCTTTTTCTAATCGATTATTATTAGTACTGTTATAAGACTAAAGATCTAAAGAGCTAAAGAGTGTAACGACAAAAGTAAACGAACTATGCAATCCCTCAATTGTCCTAAAAAATGATACCAATGATTAGTGTTGCGCGATACCGATAGAAAGTATTTCTATCAATTGAGTGATTGTCAGTCTAATTTTCCAAGGGTCCAATTTGCATGTAATTGTAACGATTATAAAAAGGTATCAAGGGCTTAACCCGCTAAATTTAAACTTCTTTAGATTGGAAATTTTTTTACTTTAATCAATACTAATCAATCAGTTATTGGTTGATATTTAATGATTAAGTTTAATCGTTAGATTTAACCATCTACTTTTTTTAATCATCCATTCAACCAATTGCAACAATAAAAAAAAATCCTCAGTGTATGGTTACCGTTTGTTTGATTTAACATCTTCAACCTTTTGTCTCATTTTAAGGTAAGTTAAGTTTTTCACAATTAACTAATCATGTAATGTGATTGGTGAAAATATTACTCAACTATTGAAATTTTCGATTCATTTTAACAGGAAAACGATTCGAATTCGAGCTTTTGTTACATTTCTTGCGATTTTGCAAGCAAATTCAATCTTTGTCTTGACTATATTTCTAACCATTTAAAATCTTATTGATATTTTTTTCCTGAGGTCAGTCATAAACAAATGTTCAGTAACTGTAATATTGAATGATACATTGAAATGTACCATAGATTTCAAAGTAACTGATAAACAGCCAAAGCCTTTGAGTTTGCATCCACTTTTAAATCATTCACGCAGTTGAATATAATCAATGAGAGATACAGTTAGCCCAGAGATATGATGATAAGTTTGTCTAAAAATTTGAGTGGTGTAGTCTTAAAATGGTCAACTGATTAGATTTCAAAAGTTTTCTTTAATTGATTATTGTAAAGATGAGGTTGATGGTGAAAATCAAGAAACAATCAAATCAGATTAACACAAAACTTTAATTTTTCGACGACTTAAATTGAAAACCGATTACAATTTTACTTTTCACTTGATGAGAATAACAGACACAAAACCAATTCAAGACTAAAATCAAGACCAAACGCAAGACTAACTTTTCTGGTTATTCAACCTTATTTTTATATTGAAATTTTCTCTCTTTCTATTTTCTCTGTCTACAATTCGTGGTACCTTGACTTTTTCCTTCATTATCGCCTTGATCTTTGTTTGTTTTTCTCGTAGCAATTTCTTAATTAAAAACGACTTTGAACTAACTAATTAAGTGAACATCTAAATCAACATTAGATAATTTTCTCGATAACCTTTTCAATTTTGGATCATTACATTCACCCCTTCTAGTTAGTCCGAAGCCTCTTGAGGAACAATTAACTAATTTAACTAAATTAACGAAACTTTCTTGTTCGGGTCAATACTATCGAAACTTTCGATCTATCGCTCGACCGTTCGGTCAAAGTTAACAACAACAACTATGGGGTCATTTCTGTTTCCGTCTTTCTATTTGCAATAACAACAAAAGTTTCTTTACGTTTAATTTATTCTCTGTTTTCCGGATTTCTTTTCTTTTTCGTGGTTCTTTTGATCCCTTTTTAATACTTTTTTTCATAATCATTATCATCGAATTCTCTTCTATTTGACTCAAATTTTTTCATCATGTCTGCAAAATTTTTCTCGAATCTTTCAATGGTAAAGTGTCTCTCTTTTTCTCTTCCTTTTTCCTTTCGCATGATTTTTTTTCGCTAATGATTTATATTGATTCATTTTTTTTCTATTTGTCTCTCAGTGTATTGACGAGGTCAATAAACAAATGTCTCTCTCTCCATCAATCACCGATTCGAATGAATATCTTCGAGCAGTAATCACCATGAATAGGCTTTCACCCTGTTCCAAGGAGATTGAGGAATTTTGTATAAATATGATTCTATTGGAAGATGACGATGATGACAATAAGGATGAGGATGAGGATGGAGATAAGGATGACGAGGAGAATGATAATGAAGAGAACGATGGATTGGGTGGAAACGCTGTTGATGATGACGATAATTTTCCTCATCCAACTATTTCTTTAACGAGAATCAATCCCAAGGATCTGTTTCCTCTATTGCATACCCAACTAGAATTTATTTATAAAAAACTTCGGGATAGTCCCAATCCTTTAATCAATCGATTACTCCCTATGCTTATGGACAACCCCGGGTTCGGCTTTTGGACGGGTTTTTCCGTTTATCAGGATTTTCTCAAATGCAAATTTTGTCTTTACGGTTTTCGACTGAAAAAAGTCAAAAGATGGAAGAACTTAATTTCTCATTTGGTTCATTGTCATGCCAAGAAGATCACAAACTGTAACGGGATGATTCCTTCTCTCCAAAAGGTTTGGATTAATTTCCAATGATGAATAAATAAACTTTCTCTTTATACTGAAATTGATTTGCTTTTGAACTTCTTTTAATTTTCTTGGACTAACAATAATTAAACTTATGAGAGTAACTTAGAAACACTAGAATAATTTGACTAACGATACTTAGAGGCTAATGATGAGTAGGAAATGTGGACTAACGATACATAGACGATGATGATGACTCGAAATGGTGGACTAACCATACTTAGACGATTATGATGGCTTGGGAATGTGGACTAACGATACTTAGAGGCTAATGATGAGCAGGAAATGTGGACTAACGATACATAGACTACGATAGGGGCTCAAAATGGCGGACTAACGATACTTAGACGATGATGATGACTCGAAGTGGTGGACTAACCATACTTAAACGATGATGATGGCTTTGGAATGTGGACTAACGATACTTAGACGATGATGATGACTCGAAATGGTGGACTAACGATACTATGGTGAAGGTGGGAACTTGGTGAGGTGGACTAACGATGCATAGGTGATGATTGTGACTCGAAATGGCGCACTAACGTCACTACAATGATGATGGTTATTCTAAATGGTGGACTAACTATACTATGATGATGGCTATTTAGACGGACAAAACTGGCGGTGGGGGAGGTGGAAAGTCGAATCTTGGGATTGATCTAATTAAACGTCGACGAGCTAATTGAATTGGGTCTTGCGCGGATGGATTGATCGTTTCGACTTGCTTCTTCTTTTTGATACTGAGGATGATGATGAGAATGATGAGGGATAAAATAGTGATAATGACAGTGAAGGTAACTAACCAGAAGGAATAGTATTGTGTTCGGTGTATCCAAAGGTGATCACTTGGCAGGTACGATCGAGGCTACAGAAAAGGGGCCTAATTTTTAATGTAGTTAAATCGGTGCTATTTTTGAATAATTTTTCTATCCCTACATCTAATAAAAGTGGGTAACTTAATTCACCGGACTCCCATGCGGCGATTATTCTTCTCACCTTTTCTTTGATCAACACCAGTCGGGTTTGAATTAGTGACATTTTTAAATTTTCATTCGTGGTTCGGGTGGGTCGAGAATGGAAGTCAAGTAACTTATATTCGGGGCTAAGGATGCAAAGTGTAGCTAAGGGTACTAAAAAGGCTTCTTCGAATTGTTGTTGACATTTCTAGCGGATCTCCATTATCTCTACACTATTACAAGGATTGATGTATTGAAATTGGACAACATACGGATTTGAGGTATCGAGAGGGAGAGCGATAGCTTTAAGTGGACCAAAAATGAGTAAGCTGAGGATGAAAAACTTATTATTATTGCCTTTGGATGGACGCTCCAAAGGCAATAATAATGGGTGAGGGGGGATAGATAAATCGGACCTTAGACTTTTGTACTTTTCTTTCAGGTGACTCAGGGTTTCATCGGGGTTCAATAAATGTAACTCTGGCATTAACTGGAAATTGATTCTCTCCGACTCTTCGGGTAGGAAATGAATTGTACTTTGAACGGACGCTTTATCGGTCATATATGCATATTTTCCGATCTTGAATCGATCTTGAGCATCTAACTTAAATGGGTAAGGGGGACAGGAAAGGGTTCGGCCGTAGACTTCTATACTTAGTCCTGGACAATAGACTAAATTCTGATGTGAAATCGGTTTAATTTGGAATAAATCACCATCTTGAATGGTGTGTCGATAATCACATTGGTGTTTCTGCCAATTGATATGGGTATTATTTCCTAATGTAAAGTCACAGACAGAGGATTCAGGGAGGATGATCATGGTGTGAGAACCTTCGGTTCCGAAACTATGTACAGGATTTACACATTGGTTTTTCTCATCAAAAATGACGTGAGAGGGACCAGTATATTCTAATTTACAGAATTCACCTGTGATTTGATTATAATTGATTAAGGTGAAAGGGTCAGCGGTCATTATTCTAACATTAATAACTCTTCTAATGTTAATTTTAACCTAAGGGTATTCACGGTTGGGTCATGATAACAATCCATTGAATAGGTCATTTCTAAGGGGCAAGAGGAACTATAAGGTAGACTAATGTTGAGAA